CATCATTATTTATCTCTCTCTTATTTGCCATTTAGAAAGGTTAGTTTATAAATTCTTATTTTCTTAGCTTAGACTTCTCCTTGCCTTTGTTTAAATTATAGTTATATAATAGATGGCTTAGCCATTGGTTAAATTATTGAAATCATTGGTTTAGGTGTGCGTTAGACCAGGGGTGAAATGCTCCTGGTTCAGACCGGATCGCCTGATCCAGTAGCAATGGAGGCAGGTGGTTCGGAGAACCGGTAGCAAAAATCACCCCCCCCCCATACCCAGTTGAGCTGCACAATCATCAGAGGCTTTTTTTTTTTTTTACTTTTAAAAGCATTTTTTCTACAACCTCTTTGGCCGAAAAAATTGCTTTTAAAAGTAAAAAAAAAAAGCCTCTGATGATCACACAGCTCAGCTGGGATCCTCAGAGGCTTTTAAAAGCATTTCTTCTACAACCTCTTCAGAGTTAAATGGGGATGGATTTTATCACCTTTTTTGTTGCAGTTCTTAGCAAATCACTGTGTTGTTGAGGTTAAAAATCCCTGTTATTTTTAATGTTCTGTATTCTGTATTCCAGAGCCACTTGGATAATGACATGGGTGACATATAAATCAATAAATAAATGTAAACGAATAAATAACATACCTGCTTATTGGCTAAAACTTGGTTGAATGTTTCAGGAAAAATGCTTTTCACCTCCCTCAAAAATTAATTTCTAATAATCTCCTCTACCCCAGTGGTCCCCAACCTTTCTGGCTTGGTGGCCTGGTGAGGGGAAGAGTGGCAGGCAAATTCGTGAGTACGTGCAGGTCCATTTGCACAAGTGATGGGTGTGTGTGCCCATCGTTTGCACAAATGGAGCTTAGTGCATGAGCTTGTGCAAGTGTGCCGCAGCCCAGGGGTTGGGAACCCCTGCTCTGCACCACAAAATTATTTTGCTTCCATTGGCAATTACTTATTATATTCTTTAACATTTCAACACGACAATATTGGTAGATACAACAGTCTGAAATTTAGCATTGTGTTTTGATATATCCTTCTCTCCCTTGGATCATTTAAACATTATTTTCATGAATGACACATTAGGATATAGTAGAATGTAAAGTTTTAAACTTGTAGTGTAGTTTCATGCAGCAAATAAAGTAATCTGTCACATTTTAAATAGCACCTAAGTGACGAATGGGTTAACTTTCTTAAATGTGGTGGTAGCTATTCATAGCCAGAATGTTATTCTAAGTAAAGGAGGGATGTCAGAAGTCAGCTTATATTTACCTTGGGCATGGTAGGAGTGTAATACAGACAGCTTCTGCTTCCAGAAGCAGATCTTTGTTGTCTACATGACAAGTGTCTACCACACCAAATATGTAGCTGTGTAACAGGATATGGGATTTTTCTTAGAACAGTTTTTTAAGAAAACACTCCCAACTTACTGGTACTATAAACTGGTAGTATAAACATTATTATGTTTTGTGGAAGAGATTTATAGAATAGAGACATCACTTGCAGTTTAAGATTATCCTCATGTTTATATTGGCTTCCATAATTTAAATTTGTTTTTTTAATGGGCAGGTTGTCAGTATGTTTTGTGATTTGAAATAATTGTTCAAGAATTGACATAAATGATTTTTTCCAGTTTCCTCATGTATGTTTGGGACAAGTGCAAACTTTTGCTTTGAGTCACCTGAAAGGGATTAATTGGCAATAAGATTACACATTACTTACAACTACTGTTTGGTTTGTCATGTAGGGAGTGTAAGGTGGTTTTTTTTTTTTTTTTTTTTTTGCCATTGCAATGTTTGTAGCTTTCAATCAGTTGGCTTTGTTCAAGTTAACATAGCATATTTATAGGTTTTTTTTTTTACTATCAAACAGAAAAATATTTGCTTGAAGTTTAAAATGTCTAATTCCTGATTCAGAAATAATTCATAAATCATAAAGACTACTATTCTCCAGTGTGCTGACGAGAGGATCCAGGAATGGGGTTAACTCTGTCTCGAATCTTTGGTCATTTCCTACCAGACCCAAAATAATAATAATAATAATAATAATAATAATAATAATAATAATAATAATAATAATAATAATAATAATAATTTTATTTATATACCGCCCTCCTCCCGAAGGACTCGGGGCAGTGTACAGCCAAAATTAAAACATAAATATACAATATCATAGTTAAAATTAATTAAAATCATTAAATAGTTTTGGCCGAATTTTAAAGCCCAAAGTTAAAACCCAATTTAAAATCATTCAATTAGACAGCTCCGCCTGTTGGAACAGTAGGGTCTTGAGGGCACAGCGAAAGACCCGGAGATCAGAGATGATACAAATATCCGGGGGCAATTTATTCTAAAGGGCAGGGGCTCCGACAGAGAAGGCTCTCCTCCTGGGTGTCGCCAGCCGGCATAACTTGGCCGACGGCACCCTGAGGAATCCCTCTCTGTGGGAGCGAACTGGTCGGTGGGAGGCTGTTGGTGGCAGAAGGCGGTCCCGTAGATATCCTGGTCCTATGCCATGGAGCGCTTTAAAAGTGGTAACCAACACCTTGAATTGCACTCGGAACACCACTGGGAGCCAGTGCAGCTCGTGCAGGAGAGGTGTTACATGGGCGTAAAGAGGTGCGCCCATAACCACGTGCGCGGCCGCATTCTGGACCAGTTGGAGCCTCCGAGTGCTCTTCAAGGGGAGCTCCATGTAGAGAGCATTACAGTAGTCCAGATGGGAGGTGACGAGGGCATGAGTGACTGTGCGCAAGGCATCCTGGTCCAGAAAGGGACGCAACTGGCGGATCAGGCGAACTTGATAAAAAGCCCCTTGGCTACGGCCATCATGTGCTCTTCTAAAGACAGCCGTGAGTCCAGGAGGACGCCCAGATTGCGAGCCCTCTCTGTGGGGGGCAAAGATTCACCCCCAATAGTCAGCGATGGCACCAGCTGACTATACCGGGACGCCGGAAGCCACAGCCACTCAGTCTTGGAAGGGTTGAGCTTGAGCCTATTTCTCCCCATCCAGACCCGCACGGTCTCCTGTTCTGTCCCTGTCTCACACACGCACACAAACAGACAGCCGGGGGTTAAATAAACTGGCAGACAACCAATTCTTCCGATAAGAAGCTTGGCAGCAACCCAGTAGCTGCTTGCCAAGAACTTTACTCATAAACAAAATACACACAGTTCGAGAATTGTCCAGTTCGTAAAATAAATCCAAGGCCGATAATGTTGTTTCCAAAGATGCAATGTGACTCAATAGTAGTTAGTTTTGTCTGTCACAGAGTCTGAATGGCCACCTCACCCCCTTTTATACCCTGTGGGGTGTGGTCCAGTGACTCAGCTTAATCTCTGGCATGCCTTTTCTTCTGTTGTCCGCGCTTATCTCTGCGACGCTGCCAAGGATCCAGCCAAGACTCATTTCCCTCATCACTGTCCACCTGTGGCTGCGTGGACGTGCTTGGCCCCGGCCCTATCTCTTGCCCTTCGGCGGACACCGAAGGCATTGCCAGAGAGGAGGGTCCTGGAGAGGGAGGCCTTGCCAACTCCTCTCCTTTACTCTCAGAGTCCTCTCCTGCCGATGACACAGGCTCAGGTAACGGAGCCACAACACCTCCAGGCAGCGTGACATCACATCAAGGGCATCATTGGGGTGGTTTGGGGTGGAGATGTACAGCTGGGTGTCATCAGAGGCATAGTAATAGAATAACAGACTTGGAAGGGATCTTGGAAGTCTTCCAGTCGAACCCCCTGCATAAGCAGGAGACCTTATACCTGTAATGGCGGACCTATGGCACGCGTGCCACAGGTGGCACACGGAGCCATATTGGTGGGCACGCGAGCTCAGCTCTGGTGCGCGTGCCAGCCAGTTAATTTTCAGGCTTTCTGGGCCCACAGGAAGTTGGGAAACAGACTGTTTCCAGCCTCCAGAGGGCCTTGGGGGGCGGTGGGGAAAGCCCATTTTTTGCTCTCTCCAGGCTCCTAGAAAGGCTCTGGAGCCTGGGGAGAGTGAAAAATGGGCCTTCTGGTCCCACAGAATTTGGAAAACGGGCTGTTTCGGCCTCGTGAGGGCCTCCGGGTGGGTGGGGGGTGGGAAAGGCTGTTTTCGCCCTCCCCAGGCTCCTAGAAAGCCTCTGGAGCATGGAGAAAGTGAAAAACAGGCCTACTGGGCCCACTGTGCTATTGGGTGCCAAAAGCAGGGGGGCGCATGCACATGTGCGGGCAGTGGGAGTCATAGAACCAATGGAGTTGCAGTGTTCCTTGACAAGAAGTTATCTTACTCCTTACTCCTTAATAAATATTTTTTGGGATTTTAAACAAGATTTGTATAAAGGTCATAATGATTGCCCTTCTATATTGTATATAGCCGTGATGGCGAACCTATGGCACATGTGCCCAAAGTGGCATGTGGAGCTGTGTCGCCTGTCATGCACAACGTCGCCTGTTCCTCTTCTGGGTTTATGGCGCACATGTGCACTCAATGATCAGCTGGCCTTTGTGTGTGTGGCAGTGCTGGAAACCAGAATAGATAGTCTTCCATTTTCCGACGTGAGCATGCATGTTGGGCATCTGATCGGCGTGTGCTCATGCGCGGCAGTAACCGGCAGACTTGCTGGCCAGCACTCATGTTCGTGCTGAAAACCAGAAGTACCTTATCTGGTGCGCACATGTCCCCTGGACAGCTCCTCTTCCTGGTTGCAGCCCTGACGAGCACGGCACTTGGTGTCACTCATGCGCACTTGTGCTCCCTTTTCTGCACTCGGTGCTGAAAAGGTTCGCCATCACTGGTATATAGTGTATTTTACATTGCATAATGTAGCATTGTTTTGCTTCCATTTCCTCTTTGAAATGTAATTACCAATTTAGAATGTCTCAGGCTTCCTCTAACTTGCTGCAAAGAAGCAATGAATATCCATGTGTTTCCTACCAAGTTTGACATTTTAATAATCTATTATAAAAGGGTTTTTTAAAATGTATTTTAATGCAGATGTATTTTTTGTTTTTATCTTTCCTCTCACAAAACAGAATCCGGCCTCAGTTAGCCAAAGAGAAGATAGAAGGATGCCATATCTGCACATTGGTCACACCTGGTGAACCTCAGGTGTTTCTAGGAAAAGATAAGGCCTTCACTTTTGATTATGTGTTTGATATTGCATCCCAGCAAGAGGACATCTACTTACAATGCATAGAAAAATTGATTGAAGGCTGCTTTGAAGGATATAATGCTACTGTATTTGCTTATGGCCAGGTAAGAATTGAGTAATTTTCTGATAAAATGTTCTCTGCATAAAAAAAGGGAAAATTTGGGTACATTCAAACACATTCAGATTTTGCCAGAGGTGAGAATGACAGATTTTGACTGATAAGAAATTAACAATATACAGAAAATGTACATGGATAAATAAATAGTAATGCAGCACCGATGTGCAGTATTGGGGCAAGTATTTTGAAAGAGATATACATAATTATGCAAGCTCCTCTATTTGAATTAGAATGGCTTCATTTTGATATGTTCACAATCTACTTTCATTTAAATTCTCCTGAAATACTTAGGAAAAATCGCAAAAAGGAGTATACTCCAATAAAAGATACCACAATATATTGCTGTTGATGGGTTTTGTTTTGGTTATGAAAACAATTATGTTTTCTGGGAATTGTAGGCCTGCATAAAAGACTTTTTTCTATCTTGCTTGTAATTGAGTGTGATAACATCAATTAGTCAAGTTTAGTGTTCTCCATAAGCTTCAGGTCCCAGAAGTGGAATCTGAAGCAAATTACAGATAGTCCTCGAATTACCGGCATTGTTGCATAAAGAACTCTCTGACAAACTAAATGGAAAGAGGAATATACAGCTAATACAGAATAACAGCAAATAGCCTGAATCTTCAAAAACAGAGTCAGGAAAGTTAAGACTTAGAATAAACTAAGATTTGCAACAAATGCCAAAAATAATTTTAAAAATATTCTTTCAGCATGTAAAAAGCAGGGGTGAAATCCAGCAGGTTCTGACAGGTTCTGGAGAACCGGTAGTGGAAATTTTGAGCAGTTTGGAGAACCGGTAGTGGAAAATTTGAGTAGTTCAGAGAACTGGCAAATACCACTTCTGGCTGGCCCCAGAATGGGGTGGGAATGGAGATTTTGCAGTATCATTCCTCTACCACGCCCACCAAGCAACGCCCACCAAGCCACGCCCACAGAACCGGTAGTAAAAAAATTTGGATTTCACCACTGATAAAAAGCAAGAAAAAAAATTCAAGGAAACAAATCAGTCCACTAATGGGAGAAGATGGCAAGGAGGTGACAGATAGAGAGATATTAGAACTGTTAAATTTCTCTCAGTTTGTCAGAGAGTTCTTTATGCAGCAATGCTGGTAATTCGAGGACTATCTGTAATGTATATGGAGAACACTAAAAGGAGAAGACTCCAATAAAAGATATGAGAATATATTGCTTCCGATGGCCAATTATGTTTTGTGATGGCTAGTTGTTCTGGGAATTATAGTCCTCAATAGAACTACATCAACATGGAGGGAAGTAGGCGATAGTAGCAGCTATAAGAGGGATCTAATTGTCCTAGTAGACCACTATTTTAGTATGAGCGATCAATATACTGCAGCTGCCCAAAAAACTCCTGCAGTCCTATGTTGCAACAGCAGGGCAGACATGATAACAGACATGATAAAAATACTGGAAGACAGTATTTCAGGGGATGTTTCAGAGAAGAGGGCATTGACTTATTCTCCAAAGTAGCAAGTGGAACTAATAGGTGGAAGATCATTAAAGAGAGAACGAACCTAGAACTAAGGAGAAATTCCCTGACGGTGAGAATAGTTAATTAGTGGAATGGCTTATCCCTGGAAGTCATGGGTGGTCCATCACTGGAGATTTTGAGAGAAAGACTGGACAGCCATTTGTCCAGGGTGGCATAGATTCTGCTTGACCGGGATTAGACTAAAAGATGTCCCACGTCCTTTCGAACCCTGTGCTCTGTCCCTATTCATTTACTGACATGCGAAGATACAGTGGCATTAAAAAAGCTGATTTACAACCAGTCCTTTGTAGCGTTCATGGGGTCATGTGACCGTGAGTTGGGCACTCGACAACCAGCTTGTATTTATGATGGTTGTGGCCTCCCAGGGTCACTTGAATATCATTTGTGATCTTCCAATCAGCTTGTCAGTTTTGGAAGCCATATTAGGCCGGAAGCTTCCATGCTGCCACCTTCTCATATGTGGGAAAGTAGGAGGGGGGATTTAGTAGAGGGGTTGTCTGTGGACATAATAGCATTCTTCCTGTCGGTCAAAGTCAGGGCGATCCTACATCTGGAGAAGGAGTAGTGGGACAGTGATTGATTGAAGCATGTGATCGACTGAGGAGTGGGGGGATGGTTTTGGGGGTTTTGATTTACTGGTTTAGGTTTAGGTTTAGGTTTATTTGGATTTATATACCACCCTTCTCCTGAAGGACTCAGGGCGGTGAACAGCCAAAGATAGAACACATACAATATAAAATTTAAAAACAATTTAAAACATATTAAACAAATTTGGCCCATACTAATTAAAACACCCCCTTTTTAAAAACAAATTAAAATTAAGCAATTAAAAGAGTTAGGCCAGCCCAGCTTGTTGGAATAAAAATGTCTTGAGGGCACAGCGGAAAGTGTGTAAATCTGGGATCCTCCGTATCTCCGGGGGGAGCTCGCTCCAAAGGGCAGGTGCCCCCACAGAGAAGGCTCTCCCCCTGGGGGCCGCCAGTCGACACTGTTTGACTGACGGCACCCTGAGGAGCCCCTCTCTGTGGGAGCGTACTGGCCGGTGAGAGGCTACCGGTGGCAGAAGGCGGTCTCCTAGGTACCCAGGTCCTAAGCCATGGAGCGCTCTAAAGGTGGTAACCAATACCTTGAAGCGCACCCGGAAGACCACTGGTTACTGAGGGAAAACCCGAACCTCTCAGATTCAGGTTTTCCCAGATGTTCCAGTTTACCTATTCTAGTAAATAGAACTTTGAAAAATGATTGCTTCAGAGTCTTTACTTGGAGTTGGGGTTTTTCTGGAACACTGACACAGCTTTTGACAACTGAAGTCAGTGGAGAAAGCCAGATTTATTTAACAACTGTGGCAAAAAGGGTCATAAGATCAGGTGCAGTCCAATGGTAACTCACTTAATAACAGCTGAACAATGGAAGTTCTTGTCCTAATCAAGGTTGCCTGGTAGTCATAGGTAAAGATATTTTGTGGTTATCAACGAATGATTTTTGTTTTATCTAATAGTGTTACAATTTATCCAGCTTTTTGTAATCATTTATATACTCATGTATGTGTCTCATTATTTCTCTTGTCCCTAAATTTTGAGTGCTGATAATTATGGAGTTACAGTCTAACATTATCTGGGAAAACAAGATTGGCAAAAACTGATCTTAGTACCTTTTGGATGGATGGATGGATGGATATATGTATTTGTGTGTCTCTCATTTTTTTTCCTTCTTGAAACTCCATAGCTATTTCGATTGTATTTCTGCATCTTGAAAAAAAAGTTTCTCAAAGTTTACACATGTATAAAATATATCAGTTATGCTACTTACAGTAAAACTTAAAAAAAAAACCCATAATTTTTAATAGCATTTATGTTTTTTATATTGAAATTCTGGCCTCAGTTGTGCTTCCATAATTATAATGTTTAGTCTTTTTAACTTTAGACAGGAGCTGGTAAGACTTATACAATGGGCACAGGATTTGATGTCAATATAATGGAAGAGGAACAGGGTATTATAGCGCGAGCTGTAAAACATCTGTACAAGTGCATTGAAGAGAAAAAGAGTGCAGCTATTCAGCAAGGGCTTCCACCTCCAGAATTTAAAGTCAATGCCCAGTTCTTAGAGGTAAGTCTTTATAATAGAATAGATACTTAAGTATTTGTTTGTAATCATTATCACAGAGTTCCCTGTTGCCGTGTGCGTAAGGAAATAAATTAGATTATTTATTTATAATAAAATACTTTTATTTATCTTAGTTGGGAAAATAGGAAGGGCATTGAAATTTGGTTCATATTGGGAATCTCTGCATCATGGAACAGTCTAAAATTATACTGCTGTAAACACAAACTACACGGTGTCCAAGCTTCCCATTCCAATAAACCATACAAGATTAGTAAAGTATAATTTAAAGTCAAGTAAAACCTCTACAGTATTGATCAGTAAGATTTCTCTTCTCTTTTTATATGCCAGAAAAATAAAACAAGATTTGTCTTGTCTTGAACACGTGCAATTTTGAAGGGTGTTTCCTTTTTTAAATGCCTCTAAATATAGGGTTCAGAATTGATATGCAGAACGTTCAAATTACAGTTGCCTAAACTTATACAGCTTCATACATAGGATTCTCACTTTTTTTTGTCAAAGTAGCAATTTGAATGTGTACTGTATGTGTATATATATATGTATGTATGTATGTATATCTGTACATGTATACCAGTAGTGGGTTTCAAATCCCAGTGCTACCGGTTCACTATTGGGAGCGTGCGGCGCTTCTGCACATGCACAGAAGGTTCTGTGCATAAGCAGAGCATTTTTTATGATGTCTGGGTGGGTGGGCGGAGCCTCCCACCACCGCCGCTACCGGTTCGCCCGAACTGGGGTGAACCAGTAGCAACCCACCACTGATATATACATGCAACACACACAAACACAGATACTATGCATACATTTTGCTATTGAAAAAAACCTAATGCAATTCCAGAAGTTAAGATTGACAATTATTTGTCAATCTAATTGAATATTAGTTGGGTATACAGTGTTAGTGCATACCTGATATTCTTAATTGAAAGCATTGGATTGAAGCTTTTTGGCTCGTTATCTAGGGAAATGTAAAGATAAATGCACATATTAATGACTTTTTGATTCTTTGATTTTAGTTTATAAATTCTTTGGGATTTAAATTGTTGCTACCATATTTTGCAGAAAAGTGGTAGGCGATGACCAAATAAAAACATTTTATTGCATTCTCTTTGGTTTTTGAAATAGATTTGCAGTTGATAATTAAAATGTTTATGATTATTATTGGAATAATGTCTGGAATCCAGAAATAAGATTTGAAAATATTTAAAATAATAGAAAAAATATTAAGTAAATATAATAATATTTTTAGAAAAATAAAATACCATTAATTTTCAGCATCATGGAATTAACAGAAAGACTAAAAATAAGTGAGGTTTTTAAATAAAAAGATGGTGCAAAGCTATATTAAACAAAAATATATTGAATTCATACCACTAAATAAGCAGATTGGGATGTTTTATATGACATGGATGATACAATTCTGTATAAACGATAGAGCAAAGGTAAATTTATAATTGTATTTATAAATGCTGCAAGAAAAATCAGAATCTTCTACTTTGTTTTTTCTTTCTTTGCTTTTACACTTTTAGCTTTTTTTAAATCTCTTTTTCCTTTTTTTATACTTACCATATTTTCCGGCGTATAAGACGACTGGGCGTATAAGACGACCCCCAAATTTTCCTGTTAAAATATAATGTTTGGGCTATACTCGCCGTATAAGATTACCCCTCTTCCAACGCACACCAAATAAAAATTAAAAAACATCAACTGGCTCACCCACAATGTAAAAGCAGCTGTGCTAGACCCAAAATGGCCCCTGCAACAAGCAGGAACCTCACACAGCCACAAAAAGCCCAAAAAAACAACTTTCACACTTTACACACACACAACACAACACAACACAACACAACAGGCTCGCCCACAATGTAAAAGCAGCTGTGCTAGACCCAAAATGGCCCCTGCAACAAGCAAGAACCTCACACAGCCACAAAAAACCCAAAAAAACAACTTTCACACTTTACACACACACAACACAACACAACAGGCTCACCCACAATGTAAAAGCAGCTGTGCTAGACCCAAAATGGCCCCTGCAACAAGCAGGAACCTCATACAGCCACAAAAAGCCCAAAAACCCAACTTTCACACTTTACATACACAAAATTCCACATACAGCTTTGTGAGATTTTGTGTGTTTGTGTAGTTAGAATGAAACACTACAAAAACACACTAAATCTCAGAAAGCTGCACAAATATTATTTTATTTTATTTTTATTTTTATATGAAAGCTAAATTTAAAACTTCCTAAACTTTAAATGGCTAGTTCTATAAAAGAACAACTAAAAAAAACCCCAATTAACTATTTTTTTAAAGCTCCCAAAGGGGAAAAAAACTTACCCAATAGAACAGGGGTCTCCAACCTTGGCAACTTTAAGACTTGTAGACTTCAACTCCCAGAATTCCTCAGCCAGCTTTGTTTTGCTGGCTGAGGAATTCTGGGAGTTGAAGTCCACAACACCCTGCCTGCTGATGGAATGGATTCAGGCAAGCGAAGCAAGGCAAGCGTTGTGACTAGCAGCTAAGGTAAGCAAGCTGGAGGGGGAAAACTTTTTTCCTTCTCCATGGCTCTGGCGATCCCAGCTGAGTTGCCTGATTAGCAGATCGTCAGAGCTTGGATCGCTAGAGCCATTTAAGGCTCGTCAGAGCCTTTAGGACTGGTCTGCCTGGTTACAGGAGAACGACACCTGGCGTATAAGACGACCCCTGACTTTTGAGAAGATTTTCATGTGTTAAAAAGTCGTCTTATACGCCGGAAAATACAGTAGGTTGTTTTCTTTCATGGAGAGATGAATAATGTCAAATCTGCCAATCTCGACAGATTTTTATTTTAGTTTTTCTTAGTGTCTTTTTATTTTATTACTTACTCTAAATAGCAGTGACCACTTTTAAACAGGTAGTAAAAAGATTGATTTTAGATTGGAACCTAAAACTTAATAGATAAAAATGAACAGATTCAAAAACAAAATTATATTCCCAATCTCCAAAAGGCTAGAACAAAACTACCTTAAATTGCACTTTTGAGAATAGTGACTGGGGATAAATATGCCAAGTGCACGAAACTAATAATGGAAATTATTCCTGCCGCACTTCCTACAGAAAAGAATTCTGTATGTTGAAAAGAATTAGTGTTCTGCCCCAGCTACGGACCCCAAAGAACGCAGCACACACAAAGTCTGTACAAACCTTAAATCAGTCTTTTTCAAACAAAGGCTGTTAATTAACTTTCTTAACAGCCTACAAGAATCCAAAGATTAAATAATCGTAATCTTACTATTGTTGGCAGAAAGCCCAGAAGCAATTTGCAGAGAACTAAGATTAAGGCGCGACGGAGAGTGAACAAAGTTGTTCCCTGCAAATTGCCTCAGTCGTCATCCTTCCTTAAATAGGCTAAGGGAGTGGCCAATTAGCCCCAAGCCTTACTCTTGAGGAGACCTCCTTCTGAGGAGCCACTCCTGCCTTTTGGCAGCTCTGCGCGCCCATGCATCGAGAAAAGGCTCCTCCTCTTCTTCCCCTTCACTTATGGGAGCTTCTGGAGGTTCTGAAGGCCCTGGCTGAATCCCCGCCTCTGGCACCACATCTTCTCCAGCCTCCTCATTGTCTGACTCGAGTGCCAGCTGCACAGGCTGCTGGCGCAGCACCAAACCAGCCTCCTCGCTGTCGGAATCAGCTACTAGCTGCACAGGCCGCTGACGGGCCACAACAATTAGTAACCTTGAAGTGATATTTGGAAAAATGCATCTAGATGAGGGAGTTGAATAATTTAATTAAAATCAGCTGCCTTCTTACACTTATTAATATTTCTGTTTCTTCCATGAGAGCAGTTTGATGTAGTGGTTAAGGCTATAGGCTAGAAACGCAGGAGACCATGAGTTCTAGTTCTGCGTTAGGTACAAAGCCACCTGGGTGACCTTGGGCCAGTCACTCTCCCTCTTCCCTTAAAAGAGGCAATGGCAAACAACCTCCAAAATCTTGCCAAGAAAACTGTAAGGATTTTTCCAGGCAGTTCCCTGGAAGTCCACAGATTTGAAGGCAACCCCAAAAGACTTAGTAGTATACTTTTCCTCTAGTGACATTTTTTTGAAATTTAAGTTATAATTCGAAGGATTTATTCTTTAATTGTTGCCTTTTATCTTTCCTTCAAGAAATGAATCGTGAAGAGTTTGATTATTAGATTACATAGTTTGACCCCTGTCATTGAATTTCAAAGCTTTTCTCTTCTTAGTCTTCTTTAATTTAAAGGGGATTTTTTTTTCCATAATGATAAGGCTTTTTGCTCTCATTTTGAATTAATTCAAATTAAATATAATTACACAATTCAATATAAAAAGCAATACCTTTCTTAGGCTTATACTTTACAGAGTAAACTTCTTAGGAGGCCTGTTATGAATGATGCATTTAGTTAGTTAACTGTTGAATTCTATTAAATGGCTTTTTGCTCTTAGTAACATCATTTCTCCCTATTGATTTAGCTTTACAATGAAGAAGTACTTGACCTGTTTGATTCAACACGTGATGTTGATTCAAAGAACAAAAAGTCAAATATCAAAATCCATGAAGATTCAGCAGGAGGAATATATACAGTGGGAGTCACAACACGGACCGTCAACGCAGAATCCGAGGTGCCCGTGTGCAAAATAACACTATTTCTTGAAAACAACCAAAATCTTTAATTATTGATATTTCATTTTTCCTTCCAGGAAATTAAGTCAGCACACAGGATTGCTTTCATTTTTATCCTTGTGTATTAACTTTAGAGTGAGAATCTATCATTGGCTTAAGTCACCAAGGGAGTTTCATAACTTTTATTCCTAGTCCAGCACTTAGTTATACTGGCCAGCAACCTTAGTAATATTGCGTTGTACTCTCTTCTGTTTTGGATACTTTAATTAGCTTTTTCCAACTTTGCTCCAAAAGTACCAAACTCAAGTTCTGTTATTTCTGCTGCTGTGGAGAAATGCAGAACAAAGTAAGATACGATAATAGCTTGCTGTGACAATTTCTTCTGAGCATGTGAGAAATGAAGCAGATTGTACCCTTATTTGCTTTAGCTCTTTTCTGGTTCCCCGTTTCCCAGGCTGTTGCTGAAGTTACATTAAATATTCAAAGCACAGCCACACGGAACACAGAGAGAGAAGAGAGGCACTACAAGGGGACATTGTTAGCATACTTGGAGTTACTATAACAACATAAGGTAGCCTTCTATTCACTGGAAACTGATCTATTTTTGCACTCCTGAGATTTAGCTGAATCCAGTATGCTCTGTGATAACATCTGGGGGAAAAAGCCTCCTTTATATATCCCTGATAATTAATTATACGGTTCTGTAGATATCCACTGAGAACATAGAAAAGGTCGCATTACTTTTCATTCTGCTGGCACAGACCTCCTGTAAGTTTGGGAATGGGATGGAAGCAGTTGAATAGGTTACAACAATTTCTATTACATCATTTCAAGGAGTTATCCAAGGTTTGCTTTAGCACAGGGGTGTGCTAAACTCACAGCGTCAGGGCAGCGTCCCATGACATATCGGGACTTTCCCCCGGAGGTCGGAGATCTTACGTATTTCCGGGGGCAGTTCATTCCACAGGGCTGGGGTTCCCACAGAGAAGGCCCTCCCCCTGGGTGTCGCCAGCCGACATAACTTGGCCGATGGCACCCTGAGGAGACCCTCTCTGTGGGAGCGGACTGGCCGGTGGGAGGCTATTGGTGGCAGAAGACGGTCTCGAAGGTACCCAGGTCCTATGCCATGGAGCGCTTTAAAGGTGGTAACCAACACCTTGAATCGCACCCGGAAGACCACTGGGAGCCAGTGCAGCTCGCGCAGGAGGGGTGTCACGTGGGCACAACGAGTTGCGCCCATAACCACCCGCGCGGCCGCATTCTGGAGATTATGGAGGATAGCAATGGTTTGGAAGGATGCACAATTAAAAACATTGTTCCTAAGAATCAGGAAAAAAATCAATACAAAAATAGCAGGGTGGATTTGATTTAAATCGAGTTGATTTAAATCACAATTTAAATCATGATTTAAATCACTAGTAAAAAGGCTTGATTTAAATCAACTCGATTTAAATCATAATTTTTAAAGAGCAACTGTCATCTCTGCTACTCCTTTGACCCACTGTGGACTCACCGATAGTCCCAGTGTTGCAGAATATACAGCCTCATGCTACATAACTAAGCTCCATTTCATGCTGAGTAAACTAAATTATTTATGTATCTTAAATAGAAAACTATCTTATGATAGATTTTTACCCCAAAAGTTTTTTATTAAAATAAATTCAATAAAAATCAAAAAAATCCGATTTAAATCAAAAAAATCTGATTTTTTTGATTTTTTTAAAAAAAATCATTGATTTTTATCCACCCTGAAAAATAGTAAGTTTTTAACAATTCCACATTGCTAAACTTAATTGGTTCTGACGCGTGCGTATACCTTTAAAAATGTTAATCAGTCACTCTTTTCCTGCCCATTTGTACAGATGATGCAGTGCTTGAAGCTGGGGGCTTTATCTCGAACTACTGCCAGCACACAGATGAATGTCCAGAGCTCACGTTCACATGCCATCTTCACTATCCACTTATGCCAGACTAGAGTTTGTCCACCACTTGATGCTGTAGGTATCTAAGGAAGTGATGTGGAGTCTTTTATTCTAGGAATATCTTTGCATCCAAATTTAATGAATAAGAGAGTTATGTGGTGTTTGTAATGTCTTCGGATCTCAGAGGTCATTACATGAACTTGGTATACTGGGGATATCTTTCAGCTGTATAAATCTTATAGCATTTATTTAATAAGGACATGCTTGGAATTACTTTATTTATTAATCTTCCCATCTCGTACAGAGGTGACTCTACCTTACAATAATAAAAAAAACAAGATGAAATATGTTTACTTCTTTTCTTCCAATCAAGGGCAGTTCACATGCAGCAAATCACTGTGTCCAGTTCTGGTCATCACAATATAAAAAGGATGCTGAGACTCTAGAAAGAGCGTAGAGAAGAGCAAAAAGGGAACTCTGGGGGAGATGGAAGGTTTAGAACTAGGAAATATAAATAAAGTAAAACAAAGATAATAGGGTCTAGAGATTAAACTGTGCGATGAATTTATTTATTTATTTATTTATTTATTTACTTACTTATTTACTTATTTATTTATTTATTTATTGGTTCGATTTATATGCCGCCCTTCTCCGGAGACTCAGGGCGGCTTACAATGCGTTAAGCAATAGCCTTCATACTTTTGTATATACCTGCTTAGTAGGGCTTTCGCCCCCCCCCCAAAACGGTGTTCTTTTTTATACAAAGGCATCTTATTGCCCCCACAATCCGGGTCCTCATTTTACCTACCTCAAAAGGATGGAAGGCTGAGTCAACCTTGAGCCTGGAGAGATTTGAATTGCAGTAATTGCAGGCAGCTCGTGCTACTTAACAGCACTTTAGTCTGCTGCGCCACCAAGGCTCTATGGTTAAGGGAACTAGGTATGTGTAGCCTAGTTCGTGATATCTGTCTTCCAGTACCTGAGGGGTAGTGACAGAGAAGAGTGGATTGACCTGTTCTTCAAAGCACCTGAGGGCAGGACAAGAAGCAATGGGTGGAAGCTTGTTAAAGAGAGATCCAACCTGGAATTAAGGTGAAATAATTAATTATTATTTAATTATTAATAATTAATTAATTATAATAAAAAATTATAATTAATAATGAGAATAATTAATCAATGGAACAGCTTGCCTCCTGGAGTTGTGGCTGCTCCATCGTTGAAGGTTTTCAAGAGTAGACTGAACAATCATTGTCCAGAATGGTACAAGGTCCCCTGCCTTGAGTAAGGGATGGACTAGAAGACCTCCAAGGTCCCTTTCAGCCCTATCATACTATGATCTTATCTCTGACAAAGCCCATATATGGGTAATTTGAAGTATTCCAAAAGCAGTTTTTCAGATGCTTTTTGTCTTTCGTTGTCTTAAAGGTTATCACAAAGAAAGCCAAATGCAGAAATACAACCATCTGTGATTTTTAAAAAAATGTTTACTTATGTGAGATCTCTCTGTTGGTATTTTGGGCAGCATGGTTTTATTATAATTTGGTATAATTCTTTTTTTCCACAGTATAAATGTTTTTGTTTCTGTTGCTTACTGTAGGACAGCGTGACAGACAACAGAATAATGATGGACTCCTCTCAGATGAATGAGTTTGAAACTCTTACCGCTAAGTTTCATTTTGTGGATCTGGCAGGATCAGAACGATTAAAACGTACAGGGGCAACTGGAGAACGAGCCAAAGAAGGCATATCTATCAATTGTGGACTTGTAAGTTTAAATTCCTGTTCTACCTTTGAGTATTCACACTCAAAAAAAGGTGATGCAGAAAACTATAATATAGAGAATGAGCCTTTTTTTGATAAAGTCACCCAGCTGGCTTTCATGCCTAAGGCAGGTGTTGTCGCCTGTCGGCAGCTGAACACAATGTTGTGGCCCTCCAGCAGCCGAATCAGATGAGGTGTGGGAGTCAGGGTCAGCATCAACGCAACCTGAGAGCTCCAAGGGAGAATGGAGCTGTCAGAGAGAGAGAGACAGAGGCGGAGCCTGGGCCGTCCGTCAGCCCTCAGACAGAGAGTGAATGGCTCCGAGGTCTGGAGGTGGCTGAGGAGGAACAGCTGGGCCCAGTACCTGATGTGCAGATGCGCAGAAGGTACAGGAGAGGAGAGCAGTGGAAATCTGTGGGCTGATCCTTGGGATGGAAGAGCCACTGCTGCTAGCGAAGCACCATCTTAATTCGAGATAAAAGGCAGGGGGCGGAGATGAATAGGTGTGGCAAACAGCTATTCATCTCCCTGCTGGGCAGACTTATTAGCCTGTGTAGAGAGAGAAACTTTTTGCCGGGGCTGCTGGCACTCCTAATAAAGGAATCATTGATTTAAATACAGAGGGTTTGTCGTGTTTGGGGAGCTGGGTCAGAACAGCAGGTCTAGAATTTAGAGCCATGGTGGTGCAGTGGTTAGAATGCGGTATTGCAGACTAACTCACTGCTCACTGCCAGAGTTTGATTCTCACCAGCTCAAGGTTGACTTAGCCTTCCATCCTTTTGGTAAAATGAGGACCCAAATTGTTGGGGGCAATATGCTGACTCTGTAAACTGCTTACAGAGGTCTATAAAGCACGGTGAAGAGGTATATAGGTCTAAGTGCTATTGCTATTTCCTACTCCAAAAAAACCTGAAGCATTTAATTGAAGGGCCTTGTCAATTTGTCATGCTGCCTTTCTCCTTTAAAAGTCTGTAAACAGAATGCATTATCAGCTGAAACTTAAGGTATTCAACTCACGGAAAGCTTCTTGCCCATAAAAAAAATAGATTGCCCTGAAATTTGCAGAGTTGTTGTATATGGGAAGAGATATTTTCCTCACAGATTGTGCCACACAGCTCTTGAGCTATTTGATTTTTGGTATTGATGTTTTGATTTCATTTTTGCTTACATATGTCTGTGAAGGGATTTTTTTTTTTTTTGACCAATGAGATTTTTATATTTTCAGCTGGCGTTGGGCAATGTAATAAGTGCACTGGGAGATAAGAGCAAGAAAGTGACTCATGTACCATACAGAGATTCAAAATTAACACGACTATTGCAAGATTCTCTTGGAGGGAATAGGTATGACCAAGTATTTAATTAAATAAATCTTGTTTGAAAGGAAGAATGAAAAACTTTGATTGACTTGCTCTTGTTTTGACTAATAAGCACGAACGGATAGATGCTTATATCTGCATTTAAATATTTTTTGTACTTTAAAGAAATGTTAAATGGCAGGATTCTTTTTATGACCTTGTAAATCATACATTGTATAGCCATTTTAAGAATAAGCAGAAATAAAACTGGTTTTAAGGAATACAAATAAATTATTTTCTTTTTAAAAAATTACAACTTCCAATGAACATAGAATAATAGAGTTGGAAGGGTCCTTGGAGGTCCTTTAGTCTAACTCCCTATGCAATTTCAGACAAATGATTGTCCAGTCTCTTTTTGAAAGCTTCCAGTGATGGAGCATCCACAGCTTCTATAATACAGCCAATCTATTCCATTGGTTGATTGCTCTCAGCGTTAGGAATGTTTCCCCTTAGTTCTAGGTTCCTTCTCTCCTTGGTTAGTTTCTATCCATTGTTTCTTGTCTTGCCTTTTGGTGCTTTGGAAAATAGGTTGACCCAGTGGTGAAATTCAAATTCTTTTACTACCGGTTCTGTGGGTATGGCTTGGTGGGCGTGGCTTGGTGGGCGTGGCAGGGGAAGGATACTGCAAAATCCCCATTCCCACCCCACTCTGGGACCAGCCAGAGGTGGTATTTGCCGAATTACTCAAAATTTCTGCTACCAGTTCTCCAGAACCTGTCAGAACATGCTGGATTTCACTCCTGGATTGACCCCCTTGTCTTTGTAGGAGTCCCTGAAACATTGGAACACTGTTATCATGTCTTCCCAGTCTTTCTTTTCATTAGACGAGACGTACCCAATTCTTGTAACTGTTTGTATGTTTTAGCCTCCAGCCCCTTAATCATTCTTTTCTTCTTTCCACTCTTTTTTCAGAATCTCAACATCTTTGTTATATTGGGGTGACCAGAACTAGATTCAGTATTCCAAGTGTGGTCTTACCAAGGCTTTGTGAAGCGGTACTAGGACTTCATGTGATCTTGATTCTGTCCTTTGGTTAATGCAGCCTAGGATTGCACTGGTTATATGATTGCTGCCACACACTGTTGGTTCATATTTAAGTGATTGTCCACTAGGACTTCAAGATCCCTCTCACAGTTACTGGCATTAAGCCACGTTTCACCTAGTCTGTATCTATAGAGTTGGGCTTTTTTACCTAAGTGTAAAACCTTACTTTTATCTACGTTGAATCTCATTTTGTTAATAGGGCCCAGTGTTGAAGTCAGTCAGGATCTTTTTGGATCTTGAGCTTGTCTTCTGGGGTGTTAGCTATTCCTACCAGGTTAGTGTCGTCTGCAAATTTGATGAGTTCCCCTTCAATTCCCTCTAGATCATTTATGAAGTTATTGAAGAATACTGTGCCTAAACGGAACCTTTGGGTACGCGCTTATTTCTTAGATCTCATTTAATTCAAAGACTTAGCTTTCCTAACTTCATCTTTGCAGGTTTGGACTATTCGTTGATATTCTGCCTTAGCTGTGTGTCCCTCTTTCCATTTTTTGTACTTATTTTTTCTCTCTCAGTTGGACTCAGAGTTCTTCGTGCAACCATCCTGTTTTTTTCTTGTTTTTCTTTTTTAGTGGTATTAAACTGGAGTGGGCTTTTATAATCATATTTTTCAGTTTCCCAAGCTTCTTGAGTCGATTTCCTCCATTGAATCCTTCCCAAGCTCTCTCTGAGTTCGTTAAAATCAACTGTTTTAAATTCTAAGATACTGGTTTGAATGAGACAAAATAATATTGATTAGGTTCCGTTTTAAGATTTCAAGTGGTGTTTTTCCTTTGAAAAAGGAAAGAAACCCAGATAAAAAAAACTACCTAGATTTACAACGATTGGATGAAATTTCTGTCATAACTGTAATGTTATGTTGTTATGTTATAAATACCTTAGCATGTTTGTTTAAAATGGGCAAAGGTAGATAGATGGGCAGATGCCTAATGTTTAATTCCATTACATTTGTAAACTAAAGTAGCACCAGAAAGACATTGAGATTTGTCTATCGTGATCTCTTACAACACCTTGTTTCCTATTACTGTTTTCAGGGTTCAACCGTCCCACTTTTTATTTCATTCAGTGGAAAAAATCCCTTCTGACCATTCTCCTAATTGTATTTTTTTAGTGTTATAATAGCAAGGGGAAATGTAAGATAGAAAAATAAATAGCTTGAGTCATATTGTGGTGACACAAGATATTAATTTCCACATGTAATTATCAATTTGAATTTTCAGTAATTAGTAATCTGCATTTAAGTTAACATTTAATAATTACAGGTTATCACATGCAAAAACATCTCACCATTGGTTATTTGATTTTAATATAATAATGTTCCCTCTGCTGCTCAACAGCAATCAACATGTACAGTAGTTGTCAATAGAATTACATCTACATGGAGGGAAACATGCAGTGGGGTACCTGAAGGTTCTGTCTTGGGCCCAGTACTCTTCAACATCTTTATAAATGAGCTAGATGAGGGGATAGAAGGCGAACTCGTCAAATTTGCAGCTGACACCAAGCTGTGGGGAATAGCCAACCTTTTAGAAGATACACTTCAGATTCAGAAGGATCTTGACAGACTTGAACACTGGGCCCCATCCAACAATATGCAATTCAGTGGTGAGAAATGTAAGGCCTTACATATAGGCAGGAAAACCCAAATGTACAGGTATAGAATATGTGGCACCTGCTCAACAATAGCAACAATCAGAGATCTAGGCGTCCTAGAGAATGTCCATTTAAGTATGAGCCAGCAGTGTGCTGCAGCTGTGAAAAAGGCTAATGCAGTCCAATGTTGCTTCAATAGTTTCAAGATCATGAGATTATGCTGCACTGGTGAGACCACACTTGGAATACCGCAGTTCTGGTCACCATGATACCAAAAGCATATTAGGACCCTAGAAAGAGTGTGGAGAAAAGCAACAAGTGTGATAAGGAATCTGGAGGTTAAACTGTACGATGAACCATTGAGGGAACTAGGTATGTCTAGTCTAACAAAGAGAAAGACTAGAGGGACAGGATAACTGTCTTTCAGTGCTTGAGCGGCTGTCATAGAGAAGACGGGGTTGATCTATTCTCTAAAGAAGGGGTCACCAAACCCCGATCTGTGCACCGGTACCAGTCCAAGGTCCGTTGGGAACCAGGGCCCGCAAGCAGGCAAGCACACAAAGCTTTATTTGTGTATCTGCAGGATTAGGCAGCACATATGAAACCATCCCCTCTCCCTGCCGGTCCGTGGAACCAGAAGGGTTGGAGACTGTTGCTATAAAGCCTCAGGGATAAGGACAAGTAGAAATGGATGGAAAAACATTGAAGAGATTTCCAACCTAAAACTAAGGAAACATTTCTTGACAGTGAGAACACTTAGTCAGGAAAAGAGCTTACCCCCTGCAGTTGTGGTGCACTATCACCGGAAGTTTTCAAGAAGAGACTGGACTGCCATTTGAGGTTGGACTAAAAGACCTCCAAGGTCCATTCCAATTCTGTTATTCTATGTTCTGTGTTCTAAGTTTCTTGCAAAAAAAAATTCCTTTGAAATACTTGAGTGAATATTGGAGGTTTTAGCTATGAGGCTATCTAGGTGATAATTGTGTTTTTATGAGTACTGTATCTCTGCATGTGCATTTTTATTGGTTATTGTGTCTTTTTAACACGCTATTTAAAATGCCAACAAAGAACAACATTCTGGAGTGGGGAATTCTCCAGAAATTCTACACTTTTCAGCTCAACTCAAATACTTTTTACATTTTGTTGAGAAAATGCAGTCATGATTTGGTTTATATATGAAATCTAAATTTAATGGACCAATTGCAGAGGAATTGTGAATGTGTTATTCCTGATTTGCCATCAAATCTGAGAATATGTAATTGTAATTATTATCACTTTGTACAGTAGCCTAGTTACAAAATGACAAGAGATTTCTGTCAAGATTTGGTCTCTTCTACCAAGGTGTTGTAATTAAGCTTTTGTTTATTAATGCTTGGCAAGCAATATGTTTTTAATTACTTTTAACAGTTGTTTCCAAATGATGAATAGCAGCTCTTTTTCACCTCCAGCCAAACAGTCATGATAGCTTGTGTAAGCCCTTCCGACAGAGACTTCATGGAAACGTTGAACACCTTAAAGTATGCAAACAGAGCAAGAAATATCAAGAATAAACTGATGGTTAATCAGGACAGGGCTAGTCAGCAGATCAACGCTCTGCGAAGCGAGATAACTCGATTGCAGTTGGAACTCATGGAATATAAAACGGTAACATCCTTTTTTAAAAAAAGCAAATTTATTATAATTATCTTTGCTGTAATGTAATGTGAATAATTACACTTTGAAACGCCTCAGTTGTCCCCCTCCCTCTGCCTTAAGTCCCAGAGTGAGTTGCCTTAGGACTGGTAGACAGGTTTACCCAGTGCATTCCATTGCATCTTTTACCTTTGAATCCAAGGTCATCATTTTTATAATTCTAATTCCTTTCATGTTCCTATCTGTTAAAAGGCCCAAGTTGCAAGGAAGGAAAGAACGTTTACAATTCACAACTAGTAGAAATAAAAGCACAGATAGTCCATATTTAGCAGCTTCTTTGTTTAGCGTCTGTTTGCTTGCAGGTCTGTAAATTGAAGTCACACATTTTAAAGTTGGCAGGGCTGAAAAACACTAGGCGATAAATCTTGAAAGCTAGATGGTGCTGTCAAGATTAAGACACTCGGTTGTAATTTAATTTTTGGATATATCCAGTCAAAGACAGTATCATCATCATCGTCACCTCCCGGATCGACTACTGCAATGCTCTCTACATGGGGCTGCCCTTGAAGACTACCCGGAGGCTTCAGCTGGTGCAGAATGCGGTCGTGCGGGTAGTGATGGGAGTGTCCTGACACTCTCATGTTACACCCCTCCTGCGGGACCTGCATTGGCTACCGGTTGCCCTCCGGGTGAGATTCAAGGTGCTGGTAATTACCTATAAAGCCCTACATGGCTTAGGCCCGGGGTACCTGGCGGACCATCTGCGGCCAGCGACAGCTCCCCATCGCCCGGTGCGCTCACAGGGAGGGCCTCCTTGGGGTCCTGTCGACTAGACAGTGTTGCTGGCGACTCCCAGGGAGCGGGCCTTCTCTGTGGGCGGGCCTACTCTGTGGAATCAGCTCCCCCTGGGGCTCCGGATGGCCCCTGCCCTTCGCTCTTTCCGCCATGACCTCAAAACATGGCTATTTGGCCTGGCCGGATTGGATTGAAGGGTTTTTTTAAAGGGGATTGTATTGGTTTTTTATATTTAAATACTGAATTTTATGTGTTTTTTATTGTTGTGAGCTGCCCTGAGTCCTTGGGGGAGAGGGCGGCATACAAGTTTAATAAAATAAATAAATAAAATAAATAAATAAATCATCTGTGGAAACCTTGGTGTGCTTTGAGCTTGGTTGGTTGGTTGGTGACTTTGTAAACAAGCAGCCAAGTCCAAAGAGCATCAAGGATTCCACATTTCAATCCTGAAATATACACGTTCTTTTTTCTCTTTAGAATAGTATCATCTAAAACGGAGGTGTCAAACTCATAATGACATGTCATCACGTGATGTATTGTAACTTTTTCCCCCTTCGCTAAACCCGGGGTGGGAGTGGCCAGCATGTGACGCATCTGGTCCATAGGCCGCAAGTTTGACACCCCTGATCTAAAAGATGACAAGAACCCTCACTAAATGCATTCATGGATTTACGTTTGAAATTTTTTGGATATTGAATAATCTGGATTGGTCCATTCCAGCCAGATAATTGAGAAAGCTTTGACCTTGCATGATGATTCTCATAATACTATAGGGCTAATGACCACCTTTTCTTCAGCTAATGGCGACTTTTTCACTGACTGTCATTGTGACAGCACTCGACAATTGGTAGTTATGACCAGTTCTGGCTGTTGCAGCATCCCCAAGATCACTTGAATGCAACTCAAGAGCTTGGAAACCAGCTCACTCTTACAACAATTGCAGTGACCAGCGGTCACATGACCTCCATGTGTGACCTTCCCACAAGCAAAGTCAATAAGGAAGACAGCAGGGAAGGGTGAAACTTGCTACCACTTTTTCTCAAGCAGCCCTGCTACAGAGTACAGAATCCCAGTAGTTCATATTTATGCCACAGCTTCCTTCCCCCACCTAGCTGCACTTGGGCAGCAGTATCTCCTAAACCTGTAAAGATTCTCAGTCATCCAGGTCATGGTTGTCCCAAAGGTGCTTTTTCAGGAGGCAACTGGACTTTCTTGTTTTTTCTTTTGTAGATGTTTCACTTCTCATCCAGGAAGCTTCTTCAGCTCTGACAGGATGGTGGGGAATGGAAGGATTTATATTCCTTGCAGACAGCTGGTAATCTGCATCCTTTCAGAGGGTCCTTGAAGCACTTGGAGGATTATCTGTGTCCTCGGGGTCACCTGAGTAGTGCTCCTGGTTTCTGTAGTCTGAAATTTTTCCTCTGGAAATCCATTCCTACTATCACACCATTCAAAGGTTGCTTATCCCAAATTGTATAGTGTAGCACAACCATGGCCTGGAAGACTGAGAATCTCTACAGATGTTTAGCCATACAATTTGGGATGAGCAACCATTGAATGGTGTGGGAGTAGAAATGGATTTCCAGAGGAAAAATTGCAGATGAGAGGAACCATTGCACTACTCAGGTGACCCTGAGGACACAGATAAACCTCCAAGCACTTCAGTGACCCTCAAAAAGGATGCAAACGACCAGCTGTCTGCAAGGAATATAAATCCTTCCATTCCCCACTATCCTCTCAGAGCTGAAGAAGCTTCTTGGATGAGAAGCGAAACATCTTCAAAACAAAAAACAAGAAAGCCCAGTTGCCTCCTGAAAAAGCATCTTTGGGATTAAGCCTGCATGCACTTGCCACAGCACCCTGCTGCCTCACTCCATAGTACTCACCTACCCACTGGCCTGCTTGTGAGCCATGCTGGGTCCTCATTGACTTTGCTTGTCAGAAGTTGGCAGGAAATTGCATATTGTGGTCATGTGAGGTCCTCACTTAACAACCCACAATTCTCACTCAAGGATGGAAACGGGACTGCCAAAATTGACATTGGCAAGCAATGCAGTCATATGATATTGTGCTTTATGATTGCATAGCTTAGTGCAGAGGTCTGCAACCTTAAACACTCAAAGAGCCATTTGGATCTGTTTCCCACAGAAAAGAAAACACTGGGAGCCACAAAACCCTTCCCGTGCCTGACTATTTCTTGAGCGGCACAAAACTAGCATACGTAGTTGAATTAAACATTCTGTTTTCTTGTGAAACTTTTCTTTTCTTGGATTTATTCATGGTTGGCCTACTGGGGGTTGAAAAGCTCAATAAATCGCGTGCCGGTGGGTGCCGCACATTGATGGTTGTGACGCATATTTTGAGTGACAGGGAGCCTCAGCAGAGGGATGAAAGAGCCACATGCGGCTCCAGAGCCACAGGTTGCTGACCCCTGGCTTAGTGGATGGAAACTCTGGTACCAATTATCATTGTTAAGTGGGGTCTTTCCGTATCATGTAAGGGCATTAGAGCACATTTGAAGCATATATGAAACATTTTAATATGATTTCATTCCAAACAAACTACAATTCGGTGTTCAAAACTGGGTAAGATGCTACATTGACAGTCTTCCTGTTTTTCAGAAGAGAACTTGTTAAGATTATCCCTGGGTGAAGACATTGTTTCCTTCTTTTTTTTTTTAAAGGGTAAAAAGATTATTGATGAGGAAGGTGTGGAAAGTATTAATGACATGTTCCATGAAAACGCCATGCTGCAAACAGAGAACAACAATCTGCGAGTTAGGATAAAGGCAATGCAAGAGACTATAGATGCTTTGAGAGCTCGAATCACACAGCTTGCCAGTGATCAGGCCAACCAGGTCCTTGCTAGAGCAGGTAATGTGTACGTTTATCCCTTAAATTGCTGTATGAATTAAGGTCTGTAAGAAGTTCTGGTTGTTTGCTGGAAAAAGAAAAAAAAAATTAGATCCAAATGCACAGGTACAGAATAGGTGGTATCTGGCTCAAGAGCTAATAACTGAGAGAGGGATCTAGGTGTCCTAGTGGACCCCCACTTAAGTATGAACCAGCAGCTACCGAAAGAGCCAATGCAGTCCTGGGGTGCATCAACAGAGGGATAGTATCAAGATCATGTGAAATGATAATACTGCTTTATACTGCACTGGTGAGGCCACATTTGGAATTGTTGTTGTTAGTTGCAAAGTCATGTCCAACCCATCGCAACCCCATGGACAACGTTCCTCCAGGCCTTCCTGTCCTCTACCATCCTCTAGAGTCCATTTAAGCTCACGCCGACTGCTTCATTGACTGCTTCCAGCCACCTCGTTCTCTGTCGTCCCCTTCTTCTTTTGCCCTCAATCTTTCCCAGCATTAGGCTCTTTTCCAGTGAGTCCTTCCTTGTCATTAGGTGGCCAAAGTATTTGAGTTTCATCTTCAGGATCTGGCGTTCTAAAGAGCAGTCAGGGTTGATCTCCTCTAGGACTGACCGGTTGGATCGCCTTGCAGTCCAAGGGACTCACAGAAGTCTTCTCCAGCACCATAGTTCAAAGGCCTCCATTCTTTGGCTCTCAGCCTTCCTTATGGTCCAACTTTCACAGCCATACTTTGCAACTGGGAAAACCATAGCCTTGACTATACGCACTTTTGTTGGCAGGGTGATGTCTCTGCTTTTTAGTGTCTTTTTATTTCTTGGCTGCAGTCCCCATCTGTGGTGATCTTAGAGCCCAGGAAAATAAAATCTGTCACTACCTCCATTTCTTCCCCATCTATTTGCCAGGAATTGAGAGTGCCGGATGCCATGATCTTAGTTTTCTTAATGTTGAGTTTCAAGCCAACTTTTGCACTCTCCTTCTTCACCCGCATCAAGAAGCTCTTTAGTTCCACTTGGAATACCGCATCCAATTCTAGTTATTGTGGCATGTGAGACCCTAGAAAGGGTATAGAGAAGTGCAATGGAGATGATAAGGACCCTAGTGGCTAAAATATATGATTGGCGGTTGAGGGAATTATTTATGCCTAGCCTATCAAACAGAAGGATTAAGGGGTACCTGATAATTGTCTTCCAGTACTTGAGGGGCTGTCACAGAGAAGAGGAGATTGACTTATTTTCGAAAGCACCAGAGGGCAGGACAAGAAGTAATGGGTGGAAGCTTGCTAAAGAGAGATCCAACCTAGAAGTAAGAAGAATTTTCTGACAATGAGAATAATTAATCAATGGAATAATTTGTTTCCCAGAATTGTGGGTGCTCAGTCACTGGAGGTTTTCAAAAATAAATTGGACAACCATTTGACTGGGATGACATAAGGCTGCTGCCTTGAGTTGGGGTTGAACTGGAAGACCTCCATAGTCCCTTCAAACCCAATGATTCTGTGAAACTTCAGACTGGTTTATTTAAATATTTTGATGTCCTTGTGCAAGTACGGTACATTTAAAAACCATGTACTTTGTGTCCATCTAGTATTCAACTTAACAACTCAATCTTGTTCTTCTTCTTACAGGAGAGGGTAATGAAGAAATCAGTAATATGATTCATAACTACATCAAGGAAATTGAGGATCTCAGGTAGTATTCTGATATTGTTATAATTTTGGCTTGATTGTGTATGATTAGAATATAAAGGATTGTAGTTAATTTTTTTATTTTTGAGACAGTGTCTTCAATGATTCCAGGTCCTGAATGACAAGTTCCAGAGTCCACAGCCAGCATGGCTTCTTTTTCATTAGGAGGGCATAATATTTGAACCCAGACAAATTGTGACAGTCTAAACCAGGGATCCCCAAACTTGGCAGCTTTAAGACCTGTGGACTTCAACTCCCAGCATAGCTGGCTGGAGAATTCTGGGAGTTGAAATCCACAAGTCTTAAAGTTGCCAAGTTTGAAGACCTCTGGTCTAAACTCTTGTTTATGAAATAGGCTGATTTATTTAATAATCTGTGCTTAGTAAGATGTAAGATGTTGGTAAGATGTAGTATATATTGTAACACTAAATTGTAGTTGAGTTAATTTTTCTATCTCTTCCATATAACTCTGCTAAAGTAAAATAAAAAAATAAATAATTGGAGTTCTCATATCTCACTAAGCCATTGCTTGTTTTATAAGTTCAATATATTAATCATGTTACTGAATTATTTCTGATTTGTTTCTCTTTCTCGGAGTGCAAAATCAAATCAGGAATAAACAGGCAAAGTGCATCATGCCAAGATTGCAGTCAGTAATCCAAGGAAAACTAGTTTTGCATTGTGGTTTATTAATCTAAGAAACTTTATTCACTAATCTTATTTTCTCATCCTGATGAACGAAAAACTTACAAACACTGGCCCTATACCTGTTGGCTTGTCCATATTCTTTTAACAGCATATAAGAATTTAGTATGAAAAAGAAAACTGCTTTCTTAAAAATGTTATATAATGATGCAAACATTATTGTGACTATTGTTTGTCTATCTTCCTGCAATTCCATGTGCCGCTTTTTTCATTTATGTGAACAAATCGCTTAGAATTTTGAATAAGCTATTGCATTCTTAATTAGTTAATTTTCTATTTGAGTTTTTCTTTTGCCGCCTTCTCAATATATTTTTCTTCTTCAAGAGCTAAGCTATTCGAAAGCGAAGCAGTGAATGAAAACCTTCGGCGCAACTTGTCAAGAGCTTCAACACGGTCAACATACTTTGGTGGAGCCTCAGCATTTTCTGCTTCGATGCTTCCCTCTGATAAGGAGACGATTGAAATCCTAGATATGGCTAAAAAAGATTTAGAAAAACTGAAAAAAAAGGAAAGGAAGAAGAAAAAGAGGTAGAAGTTAAAACTGAACATTGAGTGCTTCTTAACTGTAATCTTTAATTGGAGTATATGAATCCTGCCATCCATCTTGCAAACAAGCAAGGGCTTTACTTTATGATCAGGAATACAATGAGTCTGGCGCACAATTCTTATATTTTTAAGACAATAACGAATAACATTCTTGAAGTTACGTTTAAATCAGGACAACTTTTTTCAGTTTAAATTTGAAAATAAAATACATAACACTGCACAGGCTAAATTTGCATAGGATCCTTATCTAGTTTGTGGTGAAGTGTATCATGGGAACCCATCCAGTATAGTTAGTTGATGGTTGAGTCTTGTGAACCCAGGCAGTTGAGCTAATTCAGTTAATAGTTGTTAAGTACACCATGGAGTACTGTAATGTATCATGGAATCACAACCATAATCTACATCAGGGGTCAGCAACCTTAAACACTCAGAGAGCTATTTGGACCCATTTTCCACAGAAAAAAAAGCACCGGAAGCCACAAAACTCTTCCCGTGCCTGACTATTTCCTGAGTGGCCACAAAACTAGCATTTATATAGTTGAATTAAAGATTCTGTTTTCTTCTGAAACTTTTCTTTTCTTGGACTTATCCATGGTTGGCCTACCGGGGGTTGAAAAGCTCAATAAATTGCGTGCCAGCGGGTGTCACACATTGGCAGTTGTGACACATATTTTGAGCGACAGGGAGCCACAGCAGAGGGATGAAAGAGCCACATGCTGCTCCAGAGCCGCAGGTTGCTGACCCCTGAGCTACATGCTAGATTTACACGCTGATTTTGGGAGCTATTAGAGCTTCCTTTAATGTTGAGAGTGGGATATTTTGAATTTTTTTTCATACTCCGCTTATACCTGTCTTGCTGTGTCACTCATTTCATATTACTTTATGTTTTTATTATTTTGCCATTCCATAACATCTTAAAAAGAAATAATCTTCTACTGAATTATTACATAATCAAGGATCCAAGAAAGATTATACATAAATACCGGTTCATCAAGTGTATATAATTTTTCTTTATAAACTGAGAGCCACTTTTAGCTTTTGAATTATGCTTTAAGGGGCTTCTTTTCCAAAAGTGGCTCTAGGACAAACAATAAACTTGATTTCATTTTATTTACACTCATAGTTAATTAAATGTGACTAGGGTTTCTCTGGGCTCTCAGGATTTGGTAGAAGCTCAACGCAGAACACTGTTGCAGATGTTTCCCCCCCCCCTTTTATTCAAACAACGAGACCTTAAAAGCAAATATTTGTTTAGCATTTAGTTTTGATATCCCAGCTATATTCTGTAACGAGTATTACAGAATATATTCTGTATTGTCCCCATTTTGAGTCAAAAGAGAACAATGGAGGGTGTTGTTTTTTTGCTGATTAATATTTTATAGCCTGTTTTTTTTACCCAGATATTTATGTGCTCTATAATGTTAGCTTAATGCATCTGTCCATTGCTCTATATCTTGATTCTATCTACTTCCTAATTTAGAATGTAAAAAGTCCTTGCATATACAGAGCCTTGGTACTACAGTGGTTTAAAGCACCCTGTTATTAACACAGCTGCCTGCAATTTACTGCTGGTTCGAATCTCTCCAAGGCTCAAGGTTGACTCAGCCTTCCATCCTTTCTAAGGTAGGTTAAATGAGGACCCAGTTTGTGGGGGCAATAAGCTGACTTTGTATAAATATACAAAAGTATGAAGGCTATTGCTTATTGCTTAACGCACTGTAAGCCGCCCTGAGTCTCCGGAGAAGGGCGGCATATAAATCAAATCAAATAAAATAAATAAATAAATAAATATATTGATGGCAGTTTTCCCTCTGTCAGTCAGGCTGCCTGCTGGCTTATTTCTAAGTGGAGAAAACCTTTAATCCTCTTCATTCCTTGGGGGATCATCTGCACAGTGTAGACTACATCTTATGATAGTCTTTGAATTTTCAGAACATTTCTCTGGACCATGCCCCAAAACTCTTCAGCAATCTCCTCCAGATTTGCCTTCAAACTAATAAATATTCAGAAGGATAAAACAGTGCGGTGGCATAGTGTTGGTGCTCTCGCCTCAGAATCAGAAGGCTGAGAGTTTGATACTTGTTAGAGGCAGATATTTCTCTCTCTCTGGGCACAGTGAACCATATATCTGCTGAACCAAGCTCCACATTAGCCACAGGAAGGGCATCCGGCCAGTAAACATTCAGCTACGTTCAGTTGCCCAGACTCCATCCCGCAAGGGATTATGGGATCGTTAAAAAAAGATGAAAGAAGATGATAAACAGTGCCAATCCAATTCAGGTTTATCAGCTCATACCTTTATTTCTCAAAACCATAAATCTTCATTAGCGGGAGCTGTCTAGAGTAATATTTGTCTCAACCGTTACACCTCTGTCCTATCTCTTCCCATTACTCATTCCCATAATTCTTCTGTAATTTAAGACTATACTTCCACTGCCATCTCAGCATCTGCAGCTATCACTTCTTCCCACCTATGAGGAACATTTCCAGTGAGAAACTAAACTATGCTCTACTTCCAGCTTGTCCTTATAAAAATTAGGCCAAAGCATTTGTTTGGGATTCAGCATAGATATGCAAGTAGCCAGAAGGAAACCATAGCTAAATGCAGCTGTAATAATAATAAATTAATAGGATTACCATCCAGAACTGTTGTCTGAAACCAACTGTTCCAAAATGGGAATATTCCATTCCTCTGAAACTTCCTGTAATTAGTTTTTTGCATCCCTTCTGTCCAATTATATATTTAGTACTTCCTATTTTGATAGCAATTTTTGGAACACCCTTGGGGTACGCCCAAGTCTTTCAAGGTGCTTTAGGATCTAAGTTATTTTTTCTCTGGTCTTATGTGTAGATGGTCATCCTTCCATTTACAGTAAATGTAATTGATTCTGATTCTCTTCCATTTAGTTGTGCCTGGTTGTGTTTGATTCTCAAGTCTGTGCCGTATTCTCAGCAAGGTTTTTCAGATATGGTTTTCCTTCCCAAGGCTGTGACAAAGTGATTAGTTAAGGGTCACCCAGCTGGCTTTATGCCTAAGGTGGGACTAGAACTCACTGTCTCCCAGTTTCTAACCTAATGCCTTAATCATTATATCAAATTAGTTCTCATAGATCAGGGGTGTCAAGAACAGGGGCCAGATGCATCACGCGCAGGCCACACCCACCCCAGCTCTGTAAAGGGGAAAAACATCACGAAACGTCACGTGACAGCAATGTGACAGTGTGAGTTTGACACCCGTGTCATAGATTTTTAAGATCAGCCAAACTGGAGTAGGTGATGTTATCTGCTAAAGGCTTTTAAGCAATATTTACCCACAAATAAAACAAGGCTTTTATGTTTCTTCAGTGAAATAATTACCTTATATATTAAAATGCATAAGATTTATAGATTTGGTAAATTAGTTCAAAAATAGCCACGCCCCTTGTATTCCACTAAGTTAACATAATTTGGGAGTTGCCTTTATTTACTATGTATTTCAGTAACGTCTTCATCTCAGTTCATAGTTTCAGTGCCATATTTCATCATAAACCATATTCTGCAATCATTTCTAAGCATTCGTCATTCCTTTCTTCCGTTCTCTTTTTTCTTTTTTTGCTTCTGAAGTTTTTCTTTCAGACAAGGAATAATTCACATTATTGACTTATAAAACATTGTTTTACTATGGCAAAATATAAACAGTTGACTTTCTCATGGAATATATTTTTAAAATATGATGTCTTTCATTTAGAGCAGAGGTGTCAAACTCGATTTCATTGAGGGCTGCATTAGGGTTGTGTTTGACCTCGGGGTATGTGTGTGTGACTGGGGGGGGGGGGGCAGGGCCGGCAGGAGGCATTTTGGGTGGGGGGGGGGCTGTGGTGGCCCGAGAGCTCTGCCAGTGAAAACAGGCTCCTTAGCTCTATTTTCGGCTGTGACTGCCTCCTGCAACTCTCTGCCAGCGAAAATGGAGCTCCATTTTTGCTGGCAGAGGCACCACGGGCTGGTCCTTCGCTATTTCCAAGGCAGGCCTTGAGTTTGACACCTCTGATTTAGAGGCTCGAACTTTTCTGAAGATTTTCTCCTAGAGACACTTTTGTTTCTTCTATATAGATATAATGGGATTATAATTAAGTAAGCATTTCTGCAAGGAGCAAAAGGAAACGTTGCATTCATTGCATTCAGAACACGTTAAAAACAAATTTCAAAAAAATTTACAACTTTTCTCTTAACACCTTTCTTCTAATAGGGTGGTTCTTGTACTGCTAAAATGGTAAACCATGGTTTTAATAGTATGTCCAAGCAACCTGATGATAAGGTTTTAAAAAAGGCCCTGACTCAAGAACATGTTAAAATTATTTGCTGATCTGTGGAAAACAAATGGTTAGAAAGAGCAGGAACAGGAAAGAAATGAATTCATTTTCTTTGCATTTCCAATCCAGTTCAGGAATTGTAATCTACTTTGATTTAAAAAAAAAAAAAGATATATGCTTGCAAAAATGTCGAGAAAGAACACACCAGATTATTGAAGTAACATTCAAAAGCAAAACCTGGATAAAACTACTTGCAAAAAATAGGATCTTAGAAAATGAGTTCCTTTCGGTTTTTTTATTTTAAAAAACAAACAAACTACAAACTTATATGGAAAATAAGCTAATTTAAGCTTGAATAAATTAAAAATGATTGAACCGAATTTAACAGGATAGGAAGCTTATCTTCTCCCTTACATTGCAGTGATAAAGGTATGGGCAATCTTCCCAGGATGGATGTTGAAGTGCAGATGTGTTGAAGTGCAATTCTCATTACTCCCAGCATGGCTATTATTATTTTGTAATGAATGAATTGCCTTTTCTTTTTCTTTTTTTTAAAAAACGATCTATGGCTTTTTTTTATCATCTTTTTTTAAAAAAATACATTGAAATCCATGACCTCATATGTCATTTTTTTTTGTTTACCTTCTTGTTGCTCTCGCTTTCACTGTCTGGTTTGTCCTTCATTGGCTTGGTCTTCCAATACTGTACCGGGTGCTTTTGAAGGCTGCAGAAACTTGAGGAAAGCAGTCAAGAAGAACGAAGGTTGGAAGGTTTTTGATTGTCGTTTGAAAACTAATGTTTGGCTCACATGTAAACATACCATATTTTTCGCTCCATAAGACACACTCCCCTCCCCCCCAAGACACACTTTTTTTTGCCAGTCCTTTGGTGAATAGCAGCTGGCCCACAGCGGCAGGGTCCTTTTATAGTGCTGAAGCCCGCCTCTTCTGTTTTTGTCATTGCCCGTCTCTTCTCTGCAGCGCAGGAGTCAATAGACAGAGCTGGCAGATGAGAGGACACCTATCTGTGGTTCTCTCAGGCTCTGGTTCAGAATATTTTTTTTTTCTTGTTTTCCTCCTCTAAACCTAGGTGCCCCTTATGGTCAGTGCATCTTATGGAGAGAAAAATACGGTATATAATTCTACATAGATCTAGCAAAGAAGTTTCATCATATGAAATTTTTTTGCTGGAGTAATCCTTTTCCTTGTTATTAAATTACTACCTCCACCGCACCTACCCACCCCAAAATAAGTGTACATCTAGGATTGAAGTTAACCAGAGCAGTTAGGAGGCTGGGTGTAAACTAAAACCCATTTCAATAGGTACAGAAGATTTCAAACATAATGCTATCACAGCAATGCAGCTGTCGTTAACAGATTTCTTTTTTTCTTGAGCGCTTACCACAAATGAATCCTGAAGTTAAAATTTAAAAACGAAGTACTCTTTCATAAATATTTAACTTCCTTAGCAAATAACCATTTTCAGTATGACCTAGATTAAGTTGGAGTCATATGTTTTCACCTACTTGAGAACTTAACTTTCTATAGCCCCAAAGGTGTGTTTATTTTTCAAGAGGCAACTGGACTTTCTGGTTTTTCTTTGAAGACGTTTCACTTCTCATCCAAGAAGCTTCTTCAGCTCTGACTGGATGGTGGGGAATGGAAGGATTTAAACTCCTTGCAGACAGCATGGTCATTTGCATTCTTTTAACAAGTCGTTAAGGCCCTCCAGGTAGAATTTCTATGTTACCTAGGTATAAAAACATAAAAACTTGAAAGACCAAGGGAAGGGGAGACAGCAAGAAACACAGGTTACATATTTTGAAAGATTTTATCTTCTAAATTTCATATTTGCATAGAGGTCTGGATAGTATTTAGGATACCACGACTTGTGTTATATCCTAATTGGTGGTATACGTTAGTGAGAATACTCTCCCCCCCTCCCCCCCTTAACAAATATTGTATTAATTAGGTTACAAAAATTACTGCATTATTCATTACTGCTTAAATACAAAAAATCAAGATTAATACAGAAAAATAAGGAGGAAAGTTATCTGTCCAAGGATATCTAATCACTAAAACGATGACTGGATGTTATACATCCATATTTTACTGGATGTAAAATGATAAATGTATTTTCTGTAGAAGTATGAAATATTGCATCTAAAGTCTTGAGTCTTCAGAGAAAGGCGGCATACAAGTTGAACAAATAAAAGTTGCAAAAATTCACATTCAAATTTGAAATCCTTTAAATTGAGTTCTTTAATTCTTGATATAAATTTTAAAAGCTAAAAACTGTATTGCAGTCTTTTTGATTTTGAACCTATAAGTAGTGGTACCAAGCATCTTATTTTTTTTTAAATGATGTAGTTTTGAGTATAAGTGATTGCTTGAAACATATAATTCATAATTACAATTTTTTAAAAAAAATTCTTCAAAAATTTACAAATTGAGAAATACTTTGCATAGCATTTTCTTTGATGTTCCTAAATTCTTAAAAATGATATTTTTTTCGGAAACGAATTTGCTGATTTTAGTTTTCATTATATAAAGCAGGCAAGGATTATCTCAGAAAATTAAGATGTGTGGTGAGAAAAAGGAAATATGGCTAGATATATTTTACACCAGCACCATTCACTATTCACCTTTTTTACTTGTAAACCATCTTTTCCCCAAACTATATCCATATACTACTTCATATATTGCCTATTCTTTAAATATTTCACTTCTCTTATTTTTTGGACCTCATCAACTCCTGTCTTGGACTGTGGAATTATTTTTTAAAATTTGATTTGACCTCTATACACTTTCTCAATCTTCTCCTTTCTCTTGTTCTCAATGTTTTTTCACCTATTTTGCAATTGTGGTCCTCATTTATTCTCTGTATCCAGTAAAAGAAAATTCTCTGTCTTATTAAACCACTTCAGCATAGCTCTTTCATATGGCTCATGCATTCCTATTGTATATCTTTTTTCTTTTGACAAACATTCCTTGCAACAGACCACATACTGCTCGCTGTTGTTCTAGAAATATCTGTATATCTTCATATTTGTTTATCCCTTTCTCCATCTTTAGTAAACATTCTTCAAAGCTTTACAACTCATCCATTTGGTCTAATTTTTCATTTATCCATTTGGTCTAGTTTTTCATAAACCATCATGATTCATTCTTTTTTATTTGTAATGCAAAACCACCTTGATTTTTGGTATATGAATGGTCAGACCAAACTCATTTATCATATTATCTTTCTCCTATTGTCGGCAATAATTCAGGTTTTCAACCAACAAGATAACATCATATCCCCAACGAACACTGATTTAATAATACAGGACTATACTCTTAAACGTCCTGCAATCATTCTAGTTTCTTTCACATATATTCTTTTCTCTGATGTCCATTTTTCTCAGAATTACTGTTGACGCTATCAGATAAATGGTTTGCTCCTGTTCAAAGTCTCTTAATCCCTCTTGTAGCTATTGCCCATTCTCTTAATCTTTCATCATAAGCAATTAAATCAAGTCATGCACTTTCATTCAGGAGCTGTGGTGGCACAGTGGTTAGAAGGCAGTAGTAAGATGACATTTGAAATATTGCATCCAGTTCTGGTCACCACAATATAAAAAAAGATGCTGAGGCTCTGGAAAGAATGCAGAGAAGAGCAACAAAAATGATTAGGGGGCTGAAAGCTAAAACATATAAAGAAAAGTTGCTGAAATTGGGTATGTTTAGTCCAGGGATGTCAAACTCACTCACATTGCAGGCCATATCGTGACATATTGTGATGTTTTTGCCTTTGTGGAGCTGGGGCGGGCATGGCCGTATCCGGTCCATGGGCTGCCAGTTTGACAGGCCTGGTCTAGTCTAATGAAAAGAAGGACTAGTGTGACATGATTGTACTGTTCCAATATTTGAGAAGCTTCTATAAAGACAAGGGGGTCAACCTATTTTCCAAAGCACCAAAAGACAAGGCAAGAAATAATGGTTGGAAACAACTTAGAATTTAGGAGAGATTTCCTAGCGGTGAGATTGCACTCAACCAATGGACTAGCTTGCTTTCAGAAGTTGTGGGTGCTCCATTACTGGAGGCTTTCAAAAAGAGACCGGACAACCATTTGTCTGAAATGGTGTGGGGTTCTCCTGCTTGTTCTATGTTTTTTCTACATATCCATTCATGACACCCAACAGAATAGGTTTTCCTCTGGATTCCGTTTGTTCAAAATGGCACAATTTCCCACTAAACCCTATTTCTTTCATTGTCAACGTTACATTGCATTGTCATATGCAGCTTTCGTCAGCAAGTGGATTCCTATTTCATACAGACAAATTGTGTTTTCGTATCCTCTTCTTACAGGTAAGGAGAGTCCATGGCAACATTTAAAAGGCTTCTGTGGGAATTATTCTAAACATCTGCTGAATAAAGTTGCTTGGAATTCTATTTGTAGAGTTCCCGTGGAATTGCCTGAGGGATTGGCTTGCCTGGTTATCTGGAAAGAAATTGAATTTACTGGTCCAGATGATCAAGGGTCTTGGAAGCTGTGTATTCAGCTCCTGTGTTTTAGATTCTGTGTTAAAGCCTCCTAGGAGGTGACACATGTTTGGTCCACACAGTAGTTAAAGCATCTTGTGGGAGGTGGTAGTGCTGCCTACTTTGAATAATAAGTCCATCAATGGAGCCTGGATAGCTCTGCAGACAAGGCACTGCAATTTAACACCAGCTGTCTGCAATTAAAGTAAGTTCGAATCTCGCCAGGCTCAAAGTTGACTCAGCCTTCCATCTTTTTTAAGGTAGGTAAATTGAGGACCCAGTTTGTGGGGGCAATAAGCTGACTTTGTATAAAATATACAAAAGTATGAAGGCTATTGCTTAACGCACTGTAAGCCCTCCTGAGTCTCCGGAGAAGGGCGGCATATAAATCAAATTAAAAAAAAATAAATGTGTTCATGAAAAAGCCATCATTGAACACAATGTTGTTAGATAATTTTCATCCAGCCCTAAGCTTTTCTTTGGGAAACAACTTTTTGGTTGTTGGAAAGGTGATTGGCCTACAGCAGGGGTGTCAAACTTGCGTCACGTGCTGGCCATGCTGACCCCCTGTTTAGTGAAGGGGGGGGGGGAAAGTCGCAATACGTCACTTGATGACAACGTGACGCCACGAGTTTGACACTCCTGGCCTATAGCTTGAGAAGTGAATTATCCGGCCTTTTTCAGTAAGTTTAGCCTTACTGGCAATACTGAAACAGCTTGTGGTTGTTGATCATATTTAACAGAGTTTGGGGGTAGTGCATCCATCCTGACCTTCCTTGATGTCTTAGCAGTTGTTAACGTCCTTGATCATGTATCCTGCTGGACCATGCTAGTTAGTTTTATTATATCTTGTCCAATATGACAAGTCCTGCTAAAGCCTAGATTTATCCCAATTCACAATTGGAATTTCCAATATAGAGAGTATTTTGTGAGCCAACTTACTGTTGTGCATGCTAATTTCATTTTAACAATGTTTTTCAAAGTCAGTTTGATTGAATTGCCAATCAGGCTTTCCATCTAAATCAGTGGTGAAATCCAAAATTTTTACTACTGGTTCTGTGGGCATAGTTTGGTGGGCGTGGCAGGGGAAGGATACTGCAAAATCCCCATTCCCTCCCCACTCCTGGGGGAAGGATATTGCAAAATCTCCATTCCCACCCCACTCTGGGGCCAGCCAGAGGTGGTATTTGCCGGTTTTCCGAACTACTCAAAATTTCTGCTACCAGTTCTCCAGAACCTGCTGGATTTCACTCCTGATCTAAATCCAGTTTGATGATAAGACATATTTTGCACGTTCTACTCTTCAGGAAAGATTAGCTGAGAAAGCTTGGTGTTTAGTAGTAATTTGACTCTAAAATTGAATTGGCTGTGGTCAAGCAATAGTACCCTTTATTATAATTTTCCTTATTCTACTGATTTAAATTTTACTTACTTTTTCAATGTATCCAATTTTTCTATGAGAATTTAACAAAGTCTGCAGAGAGAGTAGGGAAGGATAAAAATTATCCATCCCAAAGTCTTGAATCCAGATGAATTCTGTCATTTGAAAGGTTGATAAAGACAATAATTTCAGAATAACTGCTGTAGGTATTCGTTAAAATAGGACAAAGGTTGAAATAAAAGAAATAGTCATACTTTTAGATTGGTAAGCTATTTTGCAAAAAACATAGGATAAGCATTTCATATCCGGCTGCATACTATGTTAGGCAGTTGAAAATGTGCAGAATTGATTTGGTCTATCTGTTCAGTTCGATTTGGACTAATCTAAAATGATGAGATTGATTTATTTTTGAGACTGATTTTAGAAAGGATTTTGCACAGCACAAAATTTTTATTGATTAATCAAATATAGTTGGAGGCATATGATTTCATATGGAAAGTCTTATTATTGGTTGCATGTAGATGCAACCAAATGTATTTTGGAACAAATTGATAAAGCAAAATTATGCACAGCCATATCAAGTATACAATAAATTTAAATACATTGGTATCTTTTATTATAGTCAATCATATTTCAAGGAGCATTACATCCGTTTCAAAGAAGTAGAGAGAAAATCTTAACAGAGAATGTATTTCAGGCAGCGTATCTAAAATATAGTTGTTTTTTTTAAAAAAATTCAGATCCATTATTGAGGGATATTAAGCCAACCTAGCAGTTCGAAAGCATGTAAAAATGCAAGTAGAAAAATAGGGACCACCTTGGTGGGAAGGCAACAGCGTTCCGTGCACATTTGGCGTTTAGTCATGCCGGTCACATGACCACAGAATTGTTATCATACAGCGCTGGCTCTTCGTCTTAGAAACGGAGATGAGCACCGCCCCCTAGAGCCGGGAACGACTAGCACGTATGTGGAAAGGGAACCTTTACTTTTTTTAAGGGTGAAGTTCTAAATTCCATTTATAGGAGTTGAACTCCATTTAACACAGTGGGATTTATTAAGATGTTATTTCATGCATTATAGTAACAAGAATCTCTTCATCCTTTTACTTTTTTATTTTCATTTACTTCAGCATTGCAATTACTTTCTTTCAAAATTAGGTTTGGTCTTGGAGGCAGTTTCAGATTTTTGTGCTTTTTTTCCTCTGCTTTTTAAACTATTAACTTTACGATTGTACATAATTATTATATGTACATAAATCAGAGGTGGGATTTACTTACCTTCCTTACCGGTTTGCAAACGTGAGCGCACGCCTCCTCCTCTGCACATGCGCACGGCCTCCTCTGCACATTTGCACAGCCTTCCGTGCATGCTCTTTGCTCGCTCATTACATCCGGGCCGGTGGGCGGAGCCTCCTGCAGTCACTACTAGCGGTTCACCAGAACCAGCTGAATCCCACCTCTGACATAAATATATGGGTTTCTTCGGGTTTTTTTTTTTTCCTGTGGTTCTAGCTTTACATCCAGCTTACCTTACACTGCTCTGGCATGAAATAGGCTGACTCACTCTACAGACTTTCTAATGGATCTTTATCTATATTTCTATAAAGGTTTGGCTATGCAGTCCTGTCTCTCGTTTCTGGGTTACTGTGCTAACTTTCTTTCTGAATCCCCCCCTCCCCCCAAAGAATGCTGTGTTGTGCATGGAATGCAGAGTTGAGTCTGGCGTTGAATTTTTATGATTTTTTTATCCTGCAAAAAGTTTGTGCAAAGTTTAAATTGTTACTCTTTAGCAAAGTTAAAGGGGGAGGGGGACAACATATGCTTCCAATTGTTAAATGCCCCCTCTCCTTTGAATTTTTTCTTATAGTGCTGTTAAAGAAGAAAACACAGATAATGAGCAGGAGAAAAAAGATGAAAAGGGCATTTCTGAAAGAGAAAATAATGACCTAGAAGCAGTAAGTATTGTGGTAATACATCTTGGTCATGTATTAATAATGGGACTTCTTTTCTCCAGGAGCCTGTATTAAAGCAGGCAGAGAAAATACAATTTCTGTCTTGTAATCATGTTTTTAACAGAAATGAGTAAGAGAAAAGGCATACATATAAATAAAGGAATGTGAGAAGTATTATTTTCTTCATAATTTAGCTTAATATTGAGAGGCTGTGTGTCAGGGTTCCAAGTAATAACCCCAATGCAATCAAAACTCCCGAGGCCTGGAGTTTCCTCAAAGTATATATTTATTTGGGATGTCATATTGGCACGGCTGGTGAAAACCCAACTTTGAAGGACCCAGGGTTTTCCCCACCCAAATCAAAGTCCAGAGTCCTGCCCTGCAGGTCATATGTCCATCACATGGTTCAATCAAGTCGTAGTCCCAACTCCGGCTGGCTTTGGTCCATGTCGTTCCAACACCTGGTAGAGCGTCCTTGACTCCCACAAGAAAGAATGTTATTTTGGCTACACATCCCCCCAGCTATCTCTGCCTCACCTCTTACGTTCCCACAGCTCCACCCGGCCTCGCTGAGGTAGCCTTGAAGATGTCCCCAAAATGGCTTCAGGGCTGACACTGTGCATATAATTTGTTCTGGGATCAAATTAAAATTATACTGAAAAATGAGGAAACAGTGAAGGAGTTCCTGTTTTTGGTTGTTTTTTATTCTTGTAGGAAGATGGGCATGAGCATAGTGATAATGAGGATGACGAAGAAGAAGATGATGAAGATGAAGATTTGGATGTGGTCGAAAGTTCAGATGAATCAGATTCTGATTCTGATGAAAAAGGTAAGATAGACGGGGGGGATAGATATACTTAATGTTATCTCCTTTGACATAAATAGTTATTTTAAAATTAAGACAATTAAATCTGGAGATTACATTTAATATGTATTTCATGAAGAGTTCATGATTAGATGACATCATATGACCAGTAAATCCCTATGGTTATAAAGATTTCAATGAGACATTAGAGGATTTTTAAATAGATTTTCTGCTTTTAAGTTAGCCATCAGTTTACTTTTGGATTTCAGATTTATAATATAAATATAAAAATTTTAATGTATTTTGAAAAGAACGAACATTCAACTTTAAAATGATAACTTATTTTTATGCAGTAAGTCATTCATAAATCATGCACCTCAGATGAAGATTTCTTAGTTGTAAGCATGAACTTTAATTGCAGCTTTATTATCAAAAATGTATACTAAAAATAAATTTTGCTAATGAATAAGTAACAAGGACTATTACAAGAAATCAAGCTTTAATGCAAGAGCCATCAGTTCTTCCTATTAAAGGACTATAATATGGATAATCTTATCTAGGAAAAAGATAGTATTGTAAATATATTGGAAATATTTAATATAGATATACCAACAGTTTGGGGCACCAAATGAATCTAAATTTTGGATCAAAGTTCTATTATATAGCTAGCTTTTGAGTGCCACAATGCATCACATCGTTTTATTGCTTTTAATTTCCTTAATTATAGTGAATTATCAGGCAGATTTAGCAAACATTACATGTGAAATTGCCATAAAACAGAAGCTCATTGACGAACTGGAGAATAGCCAAAGAAGGCTTCAGACTTTGAAAAGGCAGTATGAAGAAAAGCTAATGATGTTGCAGCATAAAATTCGAGATACACAACTTGAAAGAGATCAGGTGCTTCAGAATCTGGGTAAGACAATTTTCACTCACCAAATAATTGGATTAGGAGAGTATTTTTTTTTTTAAAGTTTATTGTTGGTGAAAGCAGCAACGTAATAAGTCTACATAAAAATATCCAATGTGGTTGTCATATTTGTGGAGACCAGACAAGTCTGTAACAAACAGACAAATAACAAGCAACATTTGGGTTTTTGCCCCCAAATCATTGGTGGTATTCAGCCGGTTCGGACTTGTTTGGGCGAATTGCCCGCCCACCCCGGCTCTATGCCGTCCTATTTAGCCACGTTTTCTAAGCCGCGTGCATGCATGCAAGCCACATGCGTGAGCAAAGCACATGCACGGAAGTCCGCGTGCATGTGCAGAAGTCCGCGTGCATGTGCAGAAGGCACGCACGCTCACATTTTCGGTGCATGGTGAACCGGTGGTAAAATTATGTGAAACCCACCTCTGCCCCAAATGATCCATCATTGCCTCCCCAAGTCCTCATGGGCAGATAGAAATTTGGAATATTTTAAAAAGGCAGCCAGTACTGAAAATCAACTCCTTCCTCCTAACTTGTATGATTTCCCCATGCCAGTTGTTTGCACAACCATTGTTGCTGTGTGTCTCAAATATTTTACCAAGATTTTGCAGAAAGACGTTCTTTTTTTTTTTTTTTAGTTTGACTAATTGTCAGAGGCAATTAGTCCCGTTACCTTCCTGGGGTAATTGCCTGGATCGTGGCATTTTCCTTGTGTATACTTTTGAAAAATAAAACCGAAATACATCTTCTAATTAAACTCATATTTATTGTAAAGAAAATAAAACATCTAACTATCTAAAATAATTAAATTGTTACATTTTTGCAAAGTTCCTACCAGCTACTTCTCAGCAGCCAGACTTCTCTGGCAAGAGAACAAAGAAAAGTGTGAAGTAGAAAGAAACAATGCGGATATACGTAGTTAGCTTACTGATAACAAAATTGGCAAGCTACGGAAAGTCTGACAGTCCAGAAATAATGAGCTCTGCTGGTAAATATAAAAACGCAGTGGACAGCAACACCAACTCTTGAATTTACCTTTGTCAATAGCAGCAATAGTAAAACTGCCTCTTGTTTTTGTGTGCACAGGTGGTATGTGATATTCCTTTAAATTTCTTAAATGTGTATTATCTATTATTCTGTCCTGGATCAAGAGTTGCTTTTTAGAGTTGGTGAATGATGTGCTTTCTCTTATGTTGCATTGGGCTCAAATTACATGGCCAGCTGAATAATTATTAATAATGTAAAGATTCTTCACATGAGCTCCAGCTGAAAGCCTTGTTGCAACGATAAATATAATACTAGGGACAGATGAGACAAAAATACTTGTGCTGTTCTCCTACTAGCTACTATGGCAGCTAACCGGTGTATCAAAATGGAGGCCCGTGACACAAGAGCAGACGTCTTCAAACTTGGCAGCTTTAAGACTTGTGGATTTCAACTCCCAGAATTCTCCAGTCAGCATAGCTGGGAATTCTGGGAGTCCACAAGTTTTAAAGCTGCCAAGTTTGGGGACCTCTACACAAGAGGTACAGAGGTCTCTTGCTTTTCCTCATCCCCCCCTGTAAAAAAAAAAAAATCTGGTAAAAAGGAAAGTAAGTAGGGACATAATTTTCTAGCAAAAATTGAAAAATGGCCTAATTTATAACTGTGGCTTGATTTAAGCCTAGAACGTGTGTGATCATAATTCATGTGCTATGAAACCCATTTAACATTGTTAGGTTCAGTGGAGACCTGCTCGGAAGAAAAAGCAAAAAAGATTAAAAGTGAATATGAAAAGAAGCTTCAGTCCATGAATAAACAACTGCAGAGGCTTCAGGCAGCCCAGAAAGAGCATGCACGATTGCTTAAAAATCAGTCACAGTATGAAAGGCAACTGAAAAAATTGCAACAGGATGTGACAGAAATGAAGAAAACAAAGGTACTCCACCTCACCTCACAAACTCTGATAACTGTGTGCATGAATGATCAGTTGTGTTACTGTCTTTCGGTTTTGCTGCTTGAAACCATTTGAATGATTTGATCAAGGCTGCAGTTGAACCCATTGCTCATAAATGAAAATGGTCACTTAATAATGTTTGTAACCTGCATTTCCATTCACATGTTTTGGGAGTTTTAACAACTGTCCCCTTCTTGAAGTCCGTAGAGATTCTCAGTCATTCATCATCCATCTTGGTTGTCCCAAAGGTGCTTTTTCAAGAGGCAGCTCTTTGAAGACATTTCACTTCTCATCCAAGAAGCTTCTTCAGCTCTGACAGGATGATGGGGAATGGAAGGATTTATATTCCTTGCAGACAGCTAATCATTTGCATCCTTTTAGAGCAAGGGTCCTCAAACTTTTTAAATAGGGGGCCAATTCAGGGTCCCTCAAACTGTTGGGGGGCCGGATTGGCTGGAAGGGCGTGGCTAGGTGGTCATGTGACTAGATGGGCGTGGCTAGGTCATGTGACTGGGTGGGCCAATTTAACAGTCCATTGAACAATGCACACAAATTAAACTTTAATTTGTTTTGCCCCTGGGGGTGTTTTATTTGCTTTTGTTTGCATGTTGCTCTTTTGGTTGCCTTTTCTTTTTACTAGATCATTTTTTCAGTTATTTAGGAGTCTAGTAGTCCACTTCAGGAAACTCAGTTTTGCTGCAATTCCTCTCAGCCCCAACGAGCTTGAGAAATATCTCTCTCTTTATCTCTTTGTCTCTTTGTCTCTCTCTCTTTCCTTCTTTCTCTCCCTCTCTTTTTCTTTTTTTCTCTTTCTCTTTTTCTCCCTCTGTCTCTCTCTTTCTTTGTCTCTCTCCTCTCTCTCCTTCTCTCTCCCCCCTCTCTCCCCCCTTTCTCTTTCATTCTTTCTCTCCTTCTCTCTTTCTGTCTGTCTGTCTGTCTGTCTCTTTCTTTGTCTCTCTCCCTCTCTCCTTCTCTCTCTCTCCCCCTCTTTCTCTTTCTCTCTTTCTTTCTCTCTCTCTCTCTCTCCCTCTCTTTCTTTCTCTTTCCCGCTCTTTCCTTCTCTCCCTCCTTCTTCTCTTTCTGTCTCTCTCTCCCCCTCTCTTTTCCCTCCCTCCCTCTCTCTTTCTCTCTCTCTCTCTCGGAGGCAATGAAGGTGAAAAACGGGCCGTTTTTGCCTGTTTTTTTTGCCTCTTCTAACCACCCCCACCCCCACCTCCACAAGCATTTCGCAGGCTAAAATTGTTGAGCTTACCTTTTGGTTCCAGCCTGCAGGTCTCCCGAAGGCAAGTCCTGCGCTCTGCTGAAGGGTGGGTGGGGTGATGTGGGCAGGGCAACCTCGTGGGCCGGATTAATTGGTTCAGTCGGCCACATGCAGCCCGCGGGCCGTAGTTTGAGGACCCATGTTTTAGAGGGTCGTTGAAGCACGTTGGAGGTTTATCTGTGTCCTCAGGGTCACCTGAGTGGTGCTCCTGGTTTCTGTAGTCTGCATTTCCATTTTCTCTGGAAATCCATTTCCACTCCAATACCATTCAAAGGATGTATTTGTATAGCTAGTGGGTGATCATCCAAAATTGTATAGCTATGCTTCAGCTATTACTGAAGAAGCTTCTTGGATGAGAAGCGAAACGTCTTTAAAAAAACAAACAAACAAGAAAGTCCAGTTGCCTCCTGAAAAAGCACCTTTCGGTGTCCTCTTCTTGTATATTTCTTCTTGAATGCAAATGTTACAATGCTGATGCTATCGAGATCTTTGCTTTTGACACAGTGATTCACCTACTTCAGTAAGATACAATGTGATAAGCCGTGATTGAGCTGATTTCTACTCAGGAATTGTTTGTCCTGCCTATTGTAATAATCAAAAACTGACAGGAGGTTATTATAAGCAGTCTAGCACCATGAATGATAAATAGTTGTTATTTACAGCAAAAAAAATTAATGCAAAGGAGTTTCACTGAGTTTTGTGAAGAGGAAAAAAATATATGTTAAAGATGGTTAAATAACTTTTATACAGGTTCGTTTGATGAAACAAATGAAAGAAGAACAAGAGAAAGCCAGGATGAATGAATCTAGAAGAAACAAAGAGATTGCACAGCTTAGAAAAGAACAGAGGAAACGAGAGGTGATTAATTAAGTGGCAAAATGTATCTATTGCATTCTTGGGAGATAAAAGTAAAGATATTTAAAGCTTCAATTGAAATGGAGCCAAAGTATTGGGATTTAGTATCACAGCTGTGGGGAGGAATTTGGTTTACATCTTGAGAATAAGGAAGAAACTGCTTTGATTCTCTAAATAGGAATTTTGTGGAATTGGGCAAAGAATGAACCATGGTTTGGTTTCCCAATATTTTATCTTGGGATTTTTATTTTAAGAAATTGTAAGTGATCTGGAATTGAAGGTGAGATGGATCAAACTTATGTTTAGTACAGATGGTCCCACCTATCTTTATTTTTAAAAATATAATTTTATTGAAAATTGTAAACACAAGAATTTTAAGACTAATACCAACTAAAACAGAGTGAAAAGAGAAAAGGGAGAAATGAAAAAAGTTGAGAGGTACAAAAATTTTTGGATTCTTCCCTTCTAAAGATGCCATTGAGTACTTCTCTGACCCCAAAAGACAGGAAGGTGAGTTGTGAACCTTGGTTCCTCAGAAATTGCCCATCATATCCCATATTGAAATATTTTCTATTGTGGTTTTAACATTGAAATAATTGCATTTTTGGCTTATTATGATTGTTCTTCTTTACAGCATCAGCTAAAACTACTGGAAGCTCAAAAGAAGAATCAGGAAGTTGTTCTACGCCGCAGAACTGAAGAGGTACCAGATTATTTCAGTTCTGCCATTTATATGTAAATTATGATATATAATCTGGTTTTTAAGTTATTAAAATGATTGTCTATTTTAGGTTACAGCTCTTCGTAGACAAGCCAGACCTATATCTGATAAAGTGTCTGGGAGAGTGAGTCGGAAGCTGAGTTTACCTGAGCACTCAAATCAAGAAGCTTCGTCCTCAGTAGACAGTGATGGATCAAAAGTGGTCCCCCAACAGAAGATGAGAATACCCATAGCAAGAGTCCAGGCATTGCCAGCAGCAAATGGAACCAAGTAATGCTATGCAAATACTATTTTGTGTATATTAAAATAAGTAAATACTCTGATACTTTTGCCTGTCAGATGATTAGCACAATTTCATAAAAACATTACCTTACTCTACGATGGGTTGATGTTTCATAATAATATAATAACAATAATAATATAAACAATAATAATAGAAGAGCAAGTGAAAACTAGCAATGATTGTTTGAGGAGACTTTTTATTCCAAGCTTAGGCATTAGAAGCCACAACATTTATTGAGGTTTAATGATTTATTTTTACATATCAGTATAATTTACTGTACATTTAGATATAGACACAAATGTATCACTTATTAGTTTTGACTATCTTTTACACGTATTAAACTTGGCATATTTAATGCTTGTTTATAAATCCAATTAGGAAAAACTTAATATCTTTTTAATTATTGAACATCTCCAGGTTTTATAGATAAATGCAAACAGGAAAAACTTTATATCTATTTTTTTAATTATTGAACATCTCCAGGTTTCATATCTGATGATAATACATTTCTGTTAGGAATATGAACTTGGAAGATTGGGAACTATTTGATTTAAATGTTTGTAAAAGAAAATAGCTGTTGCAATGGTAGTGAGCACATATCTCGAACCAATGTTTATATTTTCTGAAAATTAATACTACTTTCCTCCTTGCCAAAGGTTTAAATGTTAAGGCTGTTGTTTTCTCCTACTGCTACTGGCACAAAACGTAACCCAGTTGTTAATGCTATATCATTTAAATGCTATACATTTCTGAATTGTTTACAGGAGCAAATATCAAAGGAAAGCAATGACTTCAAGAGTTTATATTTCCAAGAGTGCAAGAATGAAATGGCAGTTACTTGAACGGAGATTAACAGAGATTATTATGCAGAAGATGACTATATCTAATATGGAAAGCGATATGAATAGATTATTGAAGGTACAGCATTTTGCAGACAATTTTTCTTTTTTGCATTATCTCCCTAGAATGATACATGTAAATGTGATGCAAACTTTAAAGATTTTAAAGATGAACTACTTTTGCATTATAGATGCTGCACATTTGTTTCTTTCCCACAGAAATACAGTGAACATAATAGATTTAATGTACTTTCTTTTTCACCATAAAATATTGGACTGGCTGTGTTTCCCAGCTGATACGTTCTGTATACTTTTGAATTTTAGCAACGTGAAGAACTTACCAAAAGGAAAGAAAAGCTTTCTAGAAGAAGGGAGAGAATAATCAAAGAGGGTGTCCCAGATATAGATAAAAACATCCATAATATAAATGAAGAGATGGAGTCACTAATGGCCAATATAGATTACATCAACGATAGTATTTCTGACTGCCAAGCAAATATCATGCAAATGGAAGAAGCCAAGGTAGGCCAGCCCCACATATTATTAAAAAGTACTAAATTTCAATAGGTAATGTAATTATCTGTTTGAGCCTTTTACTTCATGTGAAATTAACTTTATGTAGGGCTAACTTTGAAAATATTGTGTCTAAGCTGCTACCCCGTGTAAGGTATAGGGATTGTATGATGACTGAACAGAACAATCTGGATTGGTGGAGACCATTTAAGGTGTTGGTGTTGATCTTTACAATATTAAAGTTTAATAGAAATTCTGATCTCAATTTTGAATTGTAAACTGAGGACTACCTGCGTTTTATTAAAATGGGTATAATTTTTCCTGATTGTAATTTATGCTAGTTTATGATTGAAATAAAAAATTGATTTGATTTATATTTCACATACAGATAAGAACTATCATTTTAGTTGCATTGGTAATATTTTTTGTATCTTTCCTTGCAAACATTTCTTACTTGCAAGAGCAATTTTGCTTCATTAGATATTAAACCTCAATATACATATTTATAATACATTGTGAATATTCTCATATCTTGTGCAAAAGTATACATAATTGCTTCGTCGGAATTACAACTATTCATTTGATTAATACAACTTCAACTTTATTGTCTCTGACTATTTTTATTAATAAAATAAAATTCCAATTTCAAAAGTTTTTAATTTAGGTCTAATATAGTAACCTCTATAAGAGAAGTGCTGGCTCAGTAGCTAAGACGCTGAGTTCAGCGGTTTGAATCCTTAGTGCCACGTAACGGGGTGAGCTCCCGTTACTTGTCCCAGCTTCTGCCAACCTAGCAATTTGAAAGCACGTAAAAAATACAAGTAGAAAAATAGGGACCAGCTTTGGTGGGAAGGTCACAGCGTTCCATGCGCCTTTGGCATTTAGTCATGCTGGCCACATGACCACGGAGACGTCTTTGGACAGCGCTGGCTTCTCAGCTTTGAAACGGAGATGAGCACAGCTGGGAACCCCTGCACATATGTGTGAGGGGAATATTTAAATTATAGTATATAGTATAGCATACCTTATAGTAACCTCTATATTGCATGCAGATCAATTTCTGACTATTTTCTGTTTTTATACAGGAGGAAGGAGACACTTTAGATGTTACAGCTGTTATTAACGCCTGTACTCTGACTGAAGCTCGTTATTTACTTGATCATTTCCTTACTATGGGCATTAATAAGGTAATCAACAGAGTGAAGGGGTTTTTCTGTAATTAATGATACTGAAACCATTGTTTGACTAGGAGGCAGAGGAGATATTTCTTTCATGTTCAGTATTCAGTGATTATTCCACTGACTTTTAGGTGGGCTCCCATATCTAACAAAATGTATTCATTTGCCGTGGTGGCACAGTGGTTAAAATGCAGTACTGTAGGCTAATTCTGCTGACTGCCACCAGTTCGATTCTGAATGGCTCAAGCTTGACTCGGCTTCCATCCTTCCGAGATTAGTAAAATGAGGACCCAGATTGTTGGGGACAATATGCCAACTCTCTGAGCCGCTCAGAGAGGGGTAGCACTAAGAAGCGATATATAAGTTTAAGGGCTATTGCTATTTGTTATGTAAAGTAGCTGCCCATATTGAGGCTTTTCAAAAGAAGTAGAATAAGGCATTTTTTAAAATCTTCACTAGGGTCTCCAAGCAGCTCAAAAAGAGGCTCAGATCAAAGTTCTTGAAGGACGCCTTAAGCAAACGGAAATCACCACAACTACCCAAAACCAACTCTTATTTCACATGTTGAAAGAGAAAGCAGAATTAAATCCTGAACTAGACGCTTTACTGGGCCATGCATTACAAGGTAACCCAAATGTTCTACAAAATGGAATTATATTGCCTGCTGGATTTGCTTATGAAGCATGGTGTATGGAATGTCTTTCCCTTAGTGTTTTACGAATAGATGCTGTACTTAAATTATATCATAAAATATGACTCAAAGTTAGTGCATGTAAAGGAGTTTGGTTCTTATTGCAAATGATCTGTTCTTCACCAAGGAAATGCAAGGGGGAAAAATCTAGTTAATTGGTCTTAGAGCATGAATTCAATTACCAAGTAATTTTATCTACAGAATTAAGTGGTCTACAAATTGAAGTAACTTAAAATAAAATTCTCAGCATTCAAATTTAGTTCTAGGAAAGCTAGTTTTCTATCATCTATGGCATCTATTCTGATAGTTCTGATAGTCTTAATCCATTGATAATGCAATGTAGGGCTCTTTGATTTGCCATTCTGCTAATTTATGGGTTTTGATTGGCGTGTTGATTTTTGTTTCCTCCTTACTGTTGTTTTACACAGACCTAGATAGCATACCATTGGGTAAGTATGTATAGCTCTTCGTGTCCTGCATAGCTGCATGAGATACTAATAATTATATGTGTACACTAACTGGCACATCATCGAGTGTGAATGTCCATAAAGTTTGCATGTCCTATCTGGGAAATGTACATTGGTGTCATGATGTCATCACACTGCAAATTATAATTTATTTGTTTCCCCCTTGCTTCCCTTCTGCAGACACCCATGCAGATAATGCTTATTGTTATACGCTTATGGAGTTGTTTTTATTTAGAAGTCTTTTGTTACCAAAAATTACTAGTTGGATGATAACCGAAACAGGCATGAATGCAACCATTGTGAATGTACTTAAAAGCTTATGTTTTTGTTCATTTGGATGCTGTAGCTACTAGGCTGTTCCTGATACAGCTGTGTTCTTACTGTAACACGTGTAAATTTTTTTTAGTTAAAAACATAATTTTAACGCATTTTAGTAGCTCCTTTTTCTTCTTTATGGTGAACTGAATGTTTAACTTGAAAAGTTTTGTTTTAAATAAGATGGGATATTTAAATGTGCATTGCTTAGATAAGCATATTCAGTGGTAGTACATGCCATTTTGTTAATGTGCCAAGAATGAATTTGGGTTGAAATGAGAGACTTTATTATATGTGTGGTGTCAGTACATATAAATATGTACTTTTTTTCAATCTGCATTGAGCAAGAATAATAGAAAACTGTTGCCCAATTATTAGTTGCTATAACTGAATTGTATTAGCTGTTGTATTATATAGAAAACCAGCTTGGTGTAGTATTTAAAGCACCAGGTTAGAAATCAAGAGGTGTCAGATGGGTTTTTTGTCTCCATTTTGGTATTTTGATCTCAGATTGTTTTTTAATCTCTATTTGATAACTACTTAGAGTTTTGAACAACTACTACTGTTAATGTTTTTAAAGTTTTCTTTTGATCCTTGATTCATATAGTGATCTTCAGAAGGTTTTATCCAGCTTCAGCTGGCACTAGATGAAAATAAATATTGGATGACCGAAATTACTGTTTCAATATCTTGAAATGGCTACTAATGTTCTTGTGAATATTAATGTTGAATTTATGCCCAGCAATAAAATGGGAGCCTATTTGGCATTCGTTACATGGAACTCTCAAACAAGTGTTTCTCTTAAGCAAATTGTTATAGTAACAATTTTATGAGTTTATGTTTTATTAATGCAAATCAGAATAATTATTCTAAGCAGTAAGTATATGGTGGAGTAAGTGCTGGGATCCTATGTCGTTGTTATGTGTGATCTCTACATTCTTGATGGTGTCTTTACAATTTTCTTCTGCGTATGGATGATAGACAATGAGAAAATATAAGCTATTCCTACTGATTCAGAAAACTTTAAAAAGTCAGTTAAATATAAGGGCTTCTGTTTATGGGTATTATGGGAAACTAGGTTAGTTTAAGTAAAAAGCGCTAATAGATAGTACTAATTAATCTCCCTCTGATCTTTAGATAGTATGAAAAGTCCTTACAACAGATATATATTTTCTTGATTTGAAATTGACTAATAAACATAAATGATTTTGAAAATTTTCTAGAAAATGTGGAAGACAGTACTGATGAAGATGCTCCTTTGAATAGTCCTGGGGCTGAAGGAAGGTGAGATCAGTGGAAACTATAGTCCTTACATTTTCAATATAACCTTTCTCAGTATTTTCTTGAACAGATTCTATAGACAATAAAGGTAAGCAAAGGGGATAATCTGTTGTTATAGATCGTCAACACATAGATTTCCATGAACTTTTTCTCTAACTGTAAGAACATAGCTTAATTTTTATCTAAAAAGGTTATATCATGGCAACTGGATCAAATTTTATGAAATGGAGACATTTCGTTATTTATCCAAGTAATTTCTTCAGTCAAAATGAACATTTGGGTAGGCAGAGAGTCATTGGAATGAACCAACTCTTGCCATACAGACTGCAGGGGGTTTCTCCCCAAAATGAAAAATAGATATTTGTGGCCTGGATGATTGAGTTTTCATTTACATATAGCTTACTTTGAGTTCTTGAGGATCTACTTTTATATACACATTGTCACACATACACATATGTACCCTGTTTCTCCGAAAATAAGACACAACCGGAAAATAAGTCCTAGCATGATTTTTCAGGATGCTCGTAATATAAACCCTACCCCCAAAATAACCCCTGTTAAGTTTGTCAGCCAGATGGGTGCATTTAGTCCCATATTTCCCCCAAAATAAAACCTAACCAGAAAATAAGCCCTAATGCATCTTTTGGAACAAAAATTAATATAAGACCTGGTCTTATTTTCAGGGAAATACGGTATGTATGCATGTATATCAATACATATGAGGTCTGGATACATCTCAGTCACTCAGATATCTGGATGAAAACAAATTATAAATCCAGAATTGGCACTTAGAGCCAATTTTCTCCTTATTAGTCTTTGTTGGGACCCAGATTGTTGGGGACAATATGCTGACTCTGTAAACTGCTTAGTGAGGGCTGTAAAACACTGTGAAGCGGTATATAAGTGCTCTTGCAAAAATGTAGATAAATACAACACCTTGACTCATAACACACATTCAGTCATTTCTTTTGGGGGGGGGAGCCTTTCATGTGTTGAGTATCTATATCCAGCCCCACAAGTAATGACGGGCAGAAAACTATATTACAGTAAGATCATGTTTATGGGATAATAGTCAAAGGATGAGCGTATATGTCAGATCTGACATCCAGCCTTCCAGAAAATTTTAAAAGTGGGCTTTTCCCACAGTGCATTGGGATAGAATGAGGTTGGAGCTCAATGATTATTATTCTTTATATATTGGAGAGTGTTGCTTTAGAACAATGTGAATTTTTGGGGGGATGATATTTTTTTTAATTGTTTCTGTGGCTCAGTGGCTAAGACGCTGAGCTTGTCGATCGAAAGGTTGGCAGTTCAGAGGTTTGAATCCCTAGTGCCGCGTAACAGGGTGAGCTCCCATTATTTGTCCCAGCTTCTGCCAACCTAGCAGTTCGAAAGCATGTATAAAATGCAAGTAGAAAAATAGGGGCCACCTTTGGTGGGAAGGTAACAGCGTTCCATGCGCCTTTGGCATTTAGTCATGCTGACCACATGACCATGGAGATGTCTTCGGACAGCGGTGGCTCTTTGGCTTTGAAATGGAGATGAGCACCGCCCCCTAGAGTCGGGAACGACTAGCACATATGTGTGAGGGGAACCTTTACCTTTACCTTTAATTATTGCTATTATTGTGAACCATCCAAAATTATGGCACAAAAGATGAATGGCCACATAAGTATCAAATTTATGATAGGAGAAGGGGTACCTTGTTTCCATGAGATCTTAACACTAAACGTATGTTTTTATTTGCAGTTCTTTATCTTCAGATCTTATGAAACTTTGTAGTGAAGTCAAGCCTAAAAATAAGGTAAGCTATGAGTCACAGCATGATAAAGATAAAGAACTTATATTGAATTAAACTTGTAATGTCAAAACTTGTTAGGTTTTGGCAACAATAGAGAAATGGCTTGATACTATATATTTGGGGAGGGGGGGTGTTTTCCGATCTAGGCTATGCTTAGGGATTTCCTGATCTTCTCCCATCCAGAATCAACTTTGCTTAAGTTTTTAAAAGTCCATCAAGATCAATTAGTTTCTGGCTCCTGCTGTGGTCAATAGTATTTCAGAATTTTAGAATTTTAGATAGCAATTCTGTCATTTCCAGCCTTTGAAACTGCTTAGATTCAGAATACTAGAAGGAGAGTGATAATCTCTTTTTGACGCCAAGTTTTCTAGTCTTTTCTTATAAGTTTTCTTCCGGGTTTTTCTAGTCTTTTCGTGATTTGATTGATTGACTAAAACCTGGAAGAAAATGAGAGAGTTTTCTCGATCAGAGTGTTTTTGTTTTTGTGCTTTCTATGTTGACCAGGGGATCAGAACAATATAAGAATAACCGTATCTTCGCAGTATTATAGCCCATTTACTACGAGCAATCAACAAACCATTAATGGAACTATGGTATTTTTCGGAGTATAAGACGCACTTTTTTCCCCAAAAAAAGAGGGTGAAAATCTGGGTGCGTCTTATCCTCCGAATGTAGCCCTGCCCAGCTTCTCAAACGGAGGTTTCAGAGGCTGAAAAAAGCATCAGAAACGAAGCTTCAGAAAAGAAGCCCCCGAACAGAGCTTCAAAGGCTTTTTTTCTGAAGCTGTTTCGGAGGCTTTCAGAGGCAGAAAAAAAAGCAAAAAAAAAAAAAAAAGCAAGGCACAGAGCTCACAACCAAGGAACCTTTTGCTAAAATTCACCTCTGGGAACAGCTGATTTGGGAGTATTCCGGGAGGCTGATCCACCTGCCAGTCAGCTTTTTTCTTATTTTCCTCCCCAAAAACTAAGGTGCATCTTATACTGCAGTGCGTCTTATACTCCGAAAAATATGGTAGTTGCCTTCAGACAGTAGCTGCCTTTGTCAGCATAGATAACTAGGAAAAATTTTATTTTAGGATCAGGTAAATAATACTGTTCTATCCTTATTTCAGACCATTCTGTAAGTCCTGAAAAAGAATAGATTGTGTTACTGTATTGTTCTTTCTTTTCCAATCTGTTTCAGGCACGACGTCGGACAACAACCCAGATGGAACTGCTTTATGCTGATAGCGGTGATTTAACATCAGATGTCAGTGCTGGAGAGTCAGCTGTGTCGAGTCCTCTTACATCGGTTGCAGAAGCTCAAGAAAGTGGAATGGTTTCTGACACCAAAGAACCTTCTGCCAGGGACATAGAGGCCCTTCTTGTGCAGTCACCTTTGCCTTCTAAGGCTGCCAGCATGTAAGATATGTACAGTGCGTTGATTCCCTCGTGGCTCCTTAATACATGATTGGCCACATTTCATTTGTCTTCAGAGTAGAGTAGAGTAGAGTAGAGTAGAGTAGAGTAGAGTAGAGTAGAATTGAATTGAATTGAATTGAATTGAATTGAATTGAATTGAATTGAATTCTTTATTGGCCAAGTGTGATTGGACACACAAGGAATTTGTCTTTGGTGTATATGCTCTCAATCTACACAAGGAGAATAAAATACATTCATCAAGAATAAAAAGATACAACAGTTAGTGATAGTCAAGGTTACTAATAAGTTATCAAATTGTACTAGTAAACAAATAAAACAATATAAATTGAAATATACAAGCAACATGGTTATAGTAATAAGTGGGAAGAGATACATACTAGTAAGGAAGAGAAGAATAATAGTAATACAGTCTTGGTAAATTATTTGACAGTGTTGTGGGAATTAGTTGTTAAGCAGAGTGATGGCATTCGGGAAGAAAACTGTCCTTGTGTCTAGTTGTTCTGGTGTGCAGTGCCCTATAGTGTCGTTTTGAGGGCAGAAGTTGAAACAATTTATGTCCAGGATGTGAGGGGTCTGTAGATATTTTCACAGCCCCCTTTTTGACTCGTACAGTATACAGGTCCTCAATGGAAGGCAGGTTGGTAGTAATTGTTTTTTCTGCAGATCTAATTATCCGTTGAAGTCTGTGTCTGTCTTATTTGGTTGCAGAGCCAAACCAGACAGTTATGGAGCATATATATAATATATAACTTTTATAATATAAAAGTTATGAAGGATATCCAGAGATCAACTTTCTGATCAAAGAAATTCCAACGGTCTCCAGTGCAATTATTGCAGAATTCTAGTATTAAATATTTCTGTATAGCAGGTTCTTGTACTGTAACCCTAAATTCAGTCTAAAAATTGTACGAGAATAGAAATGAATAGTTTTATTTATTGTATTTAGATGTACAGGTTATCCTCGACTTACAACAGTTCATTTAGTGACCATCCAAAGTTACAACGGTGCTGAAAGAAAGGGATGTATGACAGCTTTTCACACTTACAATATTGCAGCATCCCTGTAGTCACGTGACCAAAATTCAGAAGTTTGGCAATTGGTTCATATTTATGACAGTTGTGGTATCCCAGGGTCATGTCATCTCCTTTTGCGACCTTCTGACAAGCAAAGTCAGTGGGGAAATCAAATTCACTTAACCACTGTGTTACTAAATTAACAGCTGCAGTGGTTCACTTAACAAATGTTTCACTTAGCAACATAAATTTTGGACTCAATTGTGGTCATAAATTGAGGACTACCTATATAAAGTTCAACTATGGTTAACAATATTGGTAAAGGATACCTGTTTTGTTTGCATAGAGAGAATCCTCTATAAAAGGGTTCCTCTCAAAATATCTTTAAAGGAGCTACCCTAACTTGCAGCCCTGATTAATATATTGGAACTACAACTCCTATAAGTCACGCCTGCAGAGCTGGCAGCAGAGTTGGACAGTGAAGAGGCTGGGGAGGAACATGGGCCAGTCTTGGAGTCTGGGGAAGGCTCAGATGAGGGCTCTTCATCAGAGGCAGAGATGGGGCCAGGGCTATCTGGGAGTTGTGTGCTGACTCCGGAGCCTCCAGAGTCTGACGTCCGAAAGGCAGAGGAACAGGGAGAGCCTGTTCCCAGTGCGCGCATGCGCAGAGCTTCCAGAAGGCAAGAACAGTTAAGACAAAAGGGGCGACTCGGAAGTAAGACTTGGAGATGATTGGCCCCTCCCATAAGACATAAAGGAGGAGCAAAGGCATGTGAGCCTTTGCAGGAAGCAACGCTGTTCGTGCTGGTCGGTTTACATTCTGAAGTTCTGTTTTGACTCTGTGCTCCATGTGGCCTTGCAAAGCTAATTGCCAATTAGGTCTTTGGCAGTGTGTCAAGGGAGATAAAGGTGGGTTCTTATCAGCCTTATCCCGAAGGACTGTGGCAGACTTCTGTCGGACTCTTTACAAACTCTTTGTGACTCAGCACGGGCTGTGAATGAACAGAATTCACAGCCGTTGAAATAAAAAGAGGGTTTTTGGGACTCATTGTATGCTTTTTACTGTATCAGGAAGCCTAGGTCAGAACACAGCCAGTGTAGTAACGCCCCATGTTGACTGAGAATTCCAAATCTCTCTACAGCAGGGATCCCTAAATATTTTTGCTATCTTATCTCTTTAGTGTGATCTTAATTTTTACACCTCCCCTAAAAATCCAAGCACCAAAATGAACACAAACGAACAATGAAAACAATACAATGAAACTTGGGGAAAATTCAGATTTATGATAACAATGTATAACTAAAAGGTCTTCATACCTGCCCCTGTGCCTCTGCAAAGAAAGTACACCTCACAGTTCTGGAAATCCTGATCCAAAAATCCTTGATATGATACCTTTAAGAATAATGTATGTGTTTCCATTCACAGTTTATACTTACTTGTTTACAGCTGAGTTATGCTGCCTATCTCATTCTGAGTGGCTTTTAATAGTATATTTAAAAAATCTGTATCTTGCAATTACTGAAAATATATTTTTTTAAAAAAATCTGGTGATGCTTTGTCAACTAACTTCAGCAAAACTCTACTGATAATCGAATTATGATTGTCTACCCAACTATTCTCTTTTTGTTATGACAGGTCCAAACAGTCATCTCCAACAGAAAAAAAAATACCAGAACCTTCACCTGTATCCAAGAGAAAAAGCTATGATAAATCTGTAGATAAGCCAAAGTCAAAAGAACAAAAACAGTAAGATGCTTTACTTTAAAGGTTGATTTTATTGATTGTGTTGTACGAAATGGAGAGTGATTTTGCTTTGTTGAAGAGGCTGCCTTTGTAACTCTACTTCTGTGCCTCACTTAATGGTACACTGAAAAGCGGTGTGTAAACTTCATTAATGTTGACTACTTATTGAGGGTTCTCAATCTTGAAACCATGTTTTCCATTGTAGAGCTCTCTTATTTACATTTTTTCTTTGCAGAGGCTTGGTTTTAAGTTGTTACACTGCCATCTTGTGGTGGTTTGTTTTATAATCCTTACATTCTACCAGAGGAGCTTGCAGTAAACATTACTAAATTAAAGGCATCGGTGACCTAGTCCCTAGTGTACTTTCTTAATTTTAAGCTTTTTATTTCATTTGCTTTTTATTTATTTTTATTTTTTAATTTATAATTGGTTTTTAATGTTTAATTTTTTTCTTGTAGCTCAGATTCTGGAACCTCAGAGGCTAGTCTATCACCTCCTCCTTCCCCACCAAGCCGGCCCCGTAATGAACTGAATGTTTTTAACCGTCTTACTGTTTCTCAGGGAAGCCCATCAGTTCAGAAGGATAAGTAAGTCACAAAGATCCACCTCCCCACAGCAGCGATGGTACCCAAAGCGCATGTGAGCCTGCAACAGAGCTTCAGAGAATGCTTTGGCTATGGCCATCTCATGCTAAGAGCTAAAAAAAATATAACTCATTTGTTGCTTCCACACTCTTTAAAATATGACATTCCTAATGACATAAACATTTCCTGCTGAAGTATACATAAATTTATACTTAATGCCTGCGTAAAATCGTTTTTCTTCTGATCTCTGAATAGCCAGATTTTCATTTAAATGTTTTTCAGGCATGGGAATACTCTCTGAGTTTCTGTGCTGTTGAATGATGCAGTGCCAGCATTCATATAATTATTGCATTGCAATATAATGCAATCTGCACTCTCACTTGCCTGAAATCACACTTTGAGAGTAAAGGAAGAACTAGAAATATTGACTAGAGGAAATTTCAGCACTTGCTTTGTGGAGTATTTATTTTTTTCAGTGGTAGCCGTTTGAATTTGTCCTGATTCTTTATTGTAAGCGTGCTGCACTTTCACAGCTAATATATTGTGTTTAACTTTTATGTTTTTGGCAGTAGTATTGAGGGCTTTTTTTTTTCTTTATTTCTTGTCTTGTCTTTCTATACTTTGTCTTTAATGTCTCCCCCTCCCAAATCTGTGATTCGCTATACATGTTTCTAACACTTCTTATAATCCACTGAGATCTTTTAGCCTATGCTTGGAACAATTTTATAGTAGCGAAAAGAAATAGCAATTCTCTATAGTGTTTAATTATTGAAATTGGACATAAAGATATACAAGAACTATTGATCTGTTTTGAGCTTTCATAATTGTTACTCGGACATGAACTGATTGATTGTGTTAAGGAATGCAGTATCCAACTGTTAAAAGTATACTGATATATTCTTTAACATCGGACTATTTATAAAGGATTACAAGCATATGATTCTGTCTTGATTCAGAAGAAGAAAACACAAAGGGTTAATTTCTTATCAGCAATTACAATTTTGACTGCGACTGCAAAATTGATCCCTGTCTGTCTGTCCGTCCGTCCTCCCCAGCCTGATGTATGTATAAATGAACCAAAAGGCAGAAAGCTACATGTTAAATTCAGTCATTTTATCAAAGTTCTCTCCCACAGCTTTTTAAAAGAATTAATCAAGGAAGCTGGAAATGGCTTGTAGAAAGTCTGTTTGATAGAAGCTCCATTTCTATCCCCGGTGAAAAGAGCATATTCTTCCATCGTTACCAAACCTGGTTAGGCCTGTTTGGGTGTAGTTTACACATTTGTTTTTTTCTACCTTTTCGTAACAATGCTATTCCCCCCTCCCCCCTCTTCTTTCTTTACTCTGATGATATCTATAATCTTTCTTCATAATCTTACTACTGTTTATTGTAGGTCTGAGGAAAGTGATTCTTCTCTGTCGGAGGTACACAGGTACTTTGTATTCCTCCTTTCCATCTTCTGGACTCTTTAAGTGTTACGCTTAGTATTTTTACTTGCAGTTCCTAAATTAACTTAACTAAACATTTTTGCATGATTTTTTTTTTTAAAAAAATCCCATGCTCCTCAAAACGTTCATAATGTCTCTTGGATCACTTTTATTTATTTTTTCTGAAGCATTCTTATTCTGTTTGATTTAAAAAAATATATCTCTAGCATGTGCACTAATTTCTCTTTGGCAATCATGTCCGGGTGGTGTGCCTGTTTTTATTTATGTCTTTCTCTCTCTTAATCTTTTAACAAACTCATGGCAAACGTTCTCGATTTCCTTTGTTGAAAGTGACAGGCAATAATGAACTAGGTAGGAAAGATACACTTTCATTTTACATTCGCATAAGTTCTTGAATCTTAAAGGTGCTGTAAAGGCAGCCCGTCTGTAAGGGAAATCTGTGCCATCGGAGTAAAGGGAATAGAAATTATCAATAATAACACACGCATTTGTCAGTCTTAAACCTTAAGCTTAGGACAAAAATAACCCCTGCAACCAATTCTTAATACAGGAGACTAGGATATAATTAAAAGTCGAAGAATTTCTGAATCAAGATGTTGCAAATTAGAAATTATTTATAAGAATTTTCTTCAACTGCCCAGTTTTTAAATTGTGCTTTCATTTATATACGTACAGAGTGAAGTAACAAATAATATTTTTCAGGTAACAGAACACTGTTGAATACTTAGAACTGATTCTAATTGTTTCTTCATTCATTGTTACTGAGAGTGTCTATATCTCTTGGCACATAGACTTCTATTTCTATATATCTGTAGCCCATTTGGACAAATTCCTGGCACATTTAATTCCTTTCTTTAAAAAATGGAATGAATATCAGTTTAGCTTGTTTTTATTTTATTGGAAATTTCTGGTACAGCATACAAGTTTTTTTCTTAAATAGTTTCTATCTTCCTTGCTTGCAATCCAATTTTTACTGACTGACTTCATTCTGTCTTTATTGCCTGTTTTCACTCTTCACTATATGATGTACCTGCAAGATTTTATTTACACATAAAGCACATATATTTGAAAGATACAAAGAGTCTAAACCATTTACTATTTAAACATCCAGATTTGTGAGAAATAGAAGAGCTTGAAGGCTCTTATTAACACTTAAGTTTTTTCTGTGGTATTTATTGTCTTTTTCTTGGTACAACAATTATAGTTACATTCCTTAAGCAGGTATAAAACTATACATGCTTCAGTTATATTCCAGTTTTCTAACCTATAACTTATACATAAGAAAATTTTTTCATATTTCCTAAGCCTTAATTTAATCTACATAACTCTTTTCTTTTATTATATATATTATACATTAGCATCTTAATATATAAGATCTTTCAGATCTGCTATAGATATATTCAAAGTGAGTCTACAGAGTATAGGAATATTGACTTCTGTACTTCTTCGCTTTATCATTTAGATTTCAGGTTTCATATCTTGAAAATGTACTATTCAATTGGCTCTGCTTTAATACAATCTCAGGGATAGTGATTTGCTGATCGCTATGAGATTATAAGTATGTATCTGATACATCATTAAACTTACTCATTTTCCTGAATCCAAACTTTAAACGTTGTCTCCTTATTTACAGAGGTTTATAAACCTCTGATCCCCTTGAGCCAAATTTGATTATCTGGAAAAAGTCCATGATATTTTCTTAGTGTCAGTGGAGAAGTGGTTTGCCATTGCCTTTTGAAATGTTTTTTCAGCTTTCTACACTAAACTGGAGCCCTGAGATTTCTTCGCAATCTTTAATCCAAGTACTAACCGAACCTAATGCTGCTTCATTTGTTATGAGGTCATGCAAGTGTAGATGCGGTATATCTCTGCTGAAAAAGGTTCTTTGATCCAGGAGCTCATAGATTAATTTTCTGTAAAACTCCCCTGCTGTACTTCCATTGCCGTTTTCTGGATTTCTGGATCAGAGTTGAGTGTTTGTAAGGCTATTGGAAGTTGAAGAATCTTTTAAATCATCTCTCTTTCCAAGAGAGGTTTCTTCCAAGAACCTTCTGTCTATAGGCTCAATGGAGGAAATTAAAATCTTTCATCAATTGTTTGGGAAATCATCCAAAGATCATTCAGGGACTTTTCCAGATTGTTTTGTTAGTATCATTACCAAATAATGTATATGTGTACAATCATGAATGAGACTGGAAAAGTATGTGTAAAATGTATGTATGAGCATATGTGTACTCACACAGAATATAAGTTATGATTAGGTAAAGGGCACCATGAGGAAATAATATCTTTGCCCTCTCCTCTTCATTTTTAAAATAATTAAAAATGCTAGTTTAATATTTTTTGGGAATAATTTAATTTTCCTTAGCATAGAATATGGATTTGGATAAGTAAATAGACTGGATATAGGAAACATACTGCCCTGTTTGGTGCAATTCAAACTCTGATTTGGCCATAATTTTTTTAAATCTGTCTCTTAATGAAGCAACAGCAATTAACTAAGGACAGTAATTGGACCTGTCCATTGTGCTGGAAGATATTATCTGTAAATATGTGTGCTGCTCAGAACTCTCTGGTCCATGATCAAGCTAATCTTTTCCATTGCTGTTCTCTTGGCCAACAAGCACAAGTTGGGAAAAATTCACTTGATCAAAGAGCACGTGTATAGCCTGTTACATAGCCACAGTAGAGTATAAATTCATAGATAGCAATAGCACTTAGACTTAATACCGCTTTACAGCCCTCTCTAAGCGGTTTACAGAGTCAGCATTTTGCCCCCAACAATCTGGGTCCTCATTTTACCAACCTCAGAAGGATAGAAGGCTGAGTCAACCTTGAGCCTGGTGAGATTCGAACTGCCAAATTGCAGGCAGCTGGCAGTCAGCAGAAGTAGCCTGCAGTACTGCACTCTAACCACTGCACCACTATGGCTCATTTTCTTGATCTATATCTTCATGAAAGATTTCCACTAATGCAGGGCTAGGTGTCTGGAATAGTAAAATCAGATTAAAAATTACTTGATACCATGACTAATATATGCTTCTTTTTCCATTTAGAGGCATAATCAACCCATTTTCTTCAAAATGTGTCCGACCCTCCCCAGTTCAATGTATCTATATTGCTGAAGGTCATATGAAGGCTGTGCTTTGTGTTGATTCTACTGATGATCTCCTCTTCACTGGATCAAAAGGTTTGATGGGTTTCCACGGTGTTTATGTAGCTTTCTGAAGTTTGCTTTCAGTACTGATGGGGTTACCAATGGGTCATGAAATGTTCTAAGAATAACAGGTTACTGTATTTTTTGGACTATAAGATACACTGGAGTATAAGACGCACCAAGATTTCGAAGAGAAAAACAAGAAAAAAAAAGTTGTTGCCCTCCCCGGCCCCCAGGAGCACTCTGCAGGCCTCCCAAACCCTCTGTGCGTCCCATTTTTGCAAAAAAACAGGATGCACAACGGATTTGGGATGCCTGCAGAGTGCTCCTGGGGACTGGGGAAGGCAAAAACGTGACGCATGGGGCAGGGCTGGGTTCTACTTTACTACCGGTTCGCAGCGGGGCCGCGTGCAAGCACAGAAGCTTCTGCGTATGCGCAGAAGCGTTTTGATGACGTCGGGGTTGGTGGGCGGAGCCTCCCGCCAGTTTTACTACTGGTTCTATAGAACCGGTGTGAACCAGGGGCAACCCACCACTGACGTGGGGGGTTTGGGAGGCAAAAAACGGGCATGTTTTTGGCGAAAATTGGACCTGCGGGGTGGGGTTTCGGGAGGCCAAAAATGGCTGTATCCGGTACATAAGATGCACCAACATTTCCACCTTCTTTTGGGGGGTGGGGAAGTGTGTCTTATACTCTGAAAAGTATGGTACATTTTAAGCCTGTGTGAATCCATTTATTACATTTTGTTCCTTTGCTAGTGTCAGTTGCCTCTTTGAGCAACTTTTAAAGATAATTGTTAGACATTGATTTGCATCTTTTGCCTATATTTATGTAATTTGTGAAAATAGCAATTCATTACGAAGCAACAAATAAAACGAAGGAATGAATGCCTGTATTGTGCAAAATAATCTACCATATTTTATTTGTTGTCTTTTTTTCTCTCTTTTTAGATCGCACTTGTAAAGTATGGAATTTGGTTACTGGACAGGAAATCATGTCTCTGAGTGGCCATCCTAACAATGTTGTATCTGTAAAATACTGTAATTATACTAGTTTGGTGTTCACAGTCTCAACATCTTATATTAAGGTGTGGGACATCCGCGATTCTGCTAAATGTATCCGAACGCTAACGTAAGTTGAGACTCTAAAGAGCAAAAATGTAATCTTAAAACATTAATAGATTTTGCAGTAAGTGCCAAGACAATTATAACTATGCAGAATATACAGGCTCAAAAGAACTATTTTGTATTCTTTAATTTTTGTGTAAATCTCACTAAGCTGGCAAATAGAAAAATTACTTGTAAGGTATATGCAGTCTAAGGAAAAATAAAGCCCTGATACAGTATGCGAAAATAAAACCAAACTTCTGCTAAGTGAGGAGCTCTAAAATAAACCCTATAAACAAAGGTGACAAATTGATTTAAGTTGAAAAAAAAAAGAAGCATGTAATTTCTCTTCTGATTTTCCTTATACTGCATCAGCCTCTGAATCCCAAGTACATTTTGAAAGTCTTCTATAAGCCAAGGCAGCTGGCCTGAAGCATTTCTCATCTTTTTAACTAGAAAGTTCAGGGCATCACAGTTTTGTGGCCCGCCAGCGGAACTGGTGGCAGACTTAGACAGGTTGGGGAGGAACATGGGCCAGTCCTGGAGTCTGGGGAGGGCTCTGCGTCGGAGGCAGAGATGGAGCCAGGGCCGTCTGACAATTGTCAGCTGCCTACGGAGTCAGACATCAGTGAGGCAGAAGAACAGCTGTAGCCTGTTCCCAGTGTGCGCATGCACAGAGCTGCCAGGAGAAGGGAACAGCTAAGGAACAAGAGTCGACTCGGGAGTAAAGCCACAGGTGGATGGTGAATGGCCCCTCCCATAGGAAATAAAGAGGAGCGAAAGAGGAGGGGGAGTTTACAGGAGACAATTAGTTTGCTTAATTGTTTCGTGACCTCTCCATGACTCTTTGCCAAGTTTTGAAGATATCATCCTGGCATCTCTCCAAGCCAGATAAGGTCTGTGACTGTAAATTCTCCCTTGAAAGACTTTGCTGGCTGTGAATGAGAGGAATTCACAGTAACTTAATAAAAAGGGTTTTTTGTTGGGACAAGGAGTCTGCTTCATGTTCTGGGGAAGCCGAGGTCAGGGAAGAGAGAATCAATTCACATTAAATTTGGCCTCAATGTCTGCCTGATTAGAACACTCAACTTTAGCAAGAAGTGTGATATATATGCATTATTTTTCATATATTTTTAATCAAATGTATGTAGCTGCTCTCTCATTGGTGTACTAGACGGCATGCAATAAAATAAAATAAATATTAAATAACCCTTAAAACAATTAATATAAAAGATAAGATCATGGGAGAATGCACCCAAATCTCACATAGAACACAACCATCTTGTGGGCTGGTTGTGATATTGTTTTCATTATTGCTTGTATGCTTTCCAGAGTCACTTTTAGTGAGATGGGCAGCTACATAAATGTGTTAATTAAATAAATAAATTGGAAGCTTTCCATTTAAAACAATATGCATCACCCCATCATCTTATTGGGTTTTTTATTTATTTTATTTTATTTTATATCCAATTTATATACCGCCCTTCTCCCTGAGGACTCAGGGCGGTGTACAGCCAAATAAAAACATAAATTACAAACATTAAAATAGTATTAAAAGAATATATATAAATTTGGCCCCGTAATTTAAGAACAATAACAAACCCATTTAGAACATTTAAAAATTAAGAAAAAAAAGTTAAGCCAGCCCGGCTTGCTGAAAAAAGAAGGTTTTAAGGGCACAGCGGAAGGCACCGAGGTCTTGGATTCTCCTTATCTCTGGGGGCAGTTGGTTCCAGAGGGTGGGTGCCCCCACAGAGAAGGCCCTCCCCCTGGGGGTCACCAGCCTACATTGTTTGGCTGATGGCACCCCGAGGAGGCCCTCTCTGTGGGAGCACACAGGTCGATGGGAGGCCGTCGGTAGCAGCAGGCGGTCTCAAAGATATCTAGGTCCTATGCCATGGAGCGCTTTAAAGGTGATAACCAACACCTTGAAGCGCACCCGGAAGACCACTGGGAGCCAGTGCAGCTCACGCAGGAGAGGTGTTGTATGGGAGCGCCATGCAGCTGCAGTTGTATGTCCATTGCTGTTGAGCAATGGACAGATAACATTATTACTCCTTCTTTTATTTTTTCTAAATCTAATCCAATCTTGTCTTGTTTCGTTCTTTTCCCTTATAAAATGAAGATCTTCAGGCCAGGCAATGCCGGGGGATGCTTGCTCTGGAAATACCAATAGAACTGTTACAATTCCAGCTGGTGAGAACCAGATAAATCAGATTGCCTTAAATCCAACAGGCACTTTTCTATATGCAGCTGCAGGAAACGTGGTCAGAATGTGGGACCTGAAGAGGTAATGTTTCCAAATTATTTACTGACCATGCTGGAGCATTGCAATTCTTGGTGCCAAAATGAATTGGCAGTTGTAATCTGCACTAGATTTCTTTAGTTTGGAAGCCAGCGAGGACTAGTCACTATCGGATTCATTAAATATTTGTAATGGGTACCCTGATATAAGGGACGCGGTGGCTCAGTGGCTAAGATGCTGAGCTTGTCGATCAAAAGGTCGGCAGTTCAGCTGTTCGAATCCCTAGTGCCGCGTAACGGGATGAGCTCCGGTTACTTGTCCCAGTTTCTGCCAACCTAGCAGTTCGAAAGCATGTAAAAAATGCAAGTAGAAAAATAGGGACCACCTTTGGTGGGAAGGTAACAGTGTTCTGTGTGCCTTTGGCATTTGAGTCATGCCGGCAGATACTCAGGAGAAGGCCAGGAACTCCTCAAAGCAGGCAGAAGGAAGTGTAGAGCTGTGGCTGACTCATATCTTCAACAAATACTGTGGATCCAGATGGATGTTACACTTGTTTGATGATTTGCATCGGCCTAATATTAGTATAGTTTTGAAAAAGAGTTAGTTGAGGTGGTTTGTTTGGTTTTGAAATAATTTAAGTTATTTTACGTTTTATCTTTTGCTATTCTTCTAGATTTCAGTCTACAGGAAAACTAGCTGGTCACTTGGGCCCAGTTATGTGTCTCACAGTAGATCGTATTTCTAATGGACAAGATCTCATCATTACTGGCTCCAAGGACCATTATATAAAGGTAACCTCTCATGCCTTTTTTAAAACAATCATATGAAAGTAAGCTTCAAGAATGAACTTTCTCTGTTTCTCTCCTTACAAGTTTTGGAGAGACACTTCAGTCCTGTATGAAGCTATTTAAACATCAGTTTATGGAATTCAGTGGAGTGGAATGTATTATTAATCTGTCTTTTACAGTTGAAAGGCTGGTCAGGCTGACATCTTATGAGCACATTTATGAATGAAAAGTAGGAATTCCCTATTTGCATTGAAAAATCTTCAGACAGATTCTCTCATTCATCCATTCATTCTTCAAATTTATATAGCAACCCATTTCATAGATAGATAGATAGATAGATAGATATAGATAGATAGATAGATACACAAAAAATTAAAATCTCAATGACGTTTTCCCGCGTCATTGTAAATAAGTTGTTTAAAATATTTAAAATCCTGGTTTAAAATCCCAGCTTAAAATCTTCTAAAAATCTTTACAGAGCACTCTGCAAGGTCCTTTAAAATCTCAGCTAAAATCCTACCAGTGACTTTAAAAGTTTTTCTTAAAGCAGATAGATAGATACATAGCTACATAGATACATGGATGATTGATAGATAGATGAGAGAGAGAGAGAGAGATGATAGATAGATAGATAGATAGATAGATAGATAGATAGATAGATAGATGATTGATAGATGAGAGAGAGAGAGATGATAGATAGATAGATATAGATAGATAGATAGATAGATAGATAGATAGATAGATAGATAGATAGATGATTGAGAGAGAGAGAGAGAGATGGATAGATGATTGATAGACAGATGATAGATATAGATACATAAATAGATGATTGATAGATGAGAGAGAGATGATAGATGATTGATAGATAGATGAGAGAGAGAGAGATGATAGATAGATAGATAGATAGATAGATAGATAGATAGATGATAGAGATAGATAGATAGATAGATAGATAGATAGATGATTGATAGATGAGAGAGAGAGATGATAGATAGATAGATGATAGATATAGATAGATAGATAGATAGATAGATAGATAGATAGATGATTGATAGATGAGAGAGAGAGAGAGATGGATAGATGATTGATAGACAGATGATAGATATAGATACATAAATAGATGATTGATAGATGAGAGAGAGAGATGATAGATAGATAGATAGATAGATAGATAGATAGATAGATAGATAGATAGATAGATAGGTAGGTAGGTAGGTAGGTAGGTAGATAGATAGATAGATAGATAGATAGATGATAGATATAGATACATAAATAGATGATTGATAGATGAGAGAGAGAGATGATAGATAGATAGATAGATAGATAGATAGATAGATAGATAGATAGATGATAGATATAGATACATAAATAGATGATTGATAGATGAGAGAGAGAGAGATGATAGATAGATAGATAATAGGTAGGTAGGTAGGTAGATAGATAGATGATAGATAGATATGTGACTCTGTAATATAAAAAGAGCAATACAACAGTTTAAAAAAAGAAAAATATGAAATCATAATTAAGAAACATAACAAAATACCTAAAACTCCTCCACAAAGTCATCCAAATAGTCAAACAATTAGTACTGCAAATGCACCGACTCCATCACACTTCTGGATCTATGTGCCCATTGACAAATCTGCCTTCAGAGCCTTGCAAAAAGCCAGCAGGATCAGGCCCAATGTCTTCCTGGGTCCCTCCAGAGAATATTTCCTGGTTGATAGGTGTCTAAAAGTGTTCAACTTTTCATGGGTTTTGTTTGGAAGTTTGAGAGTAATATATGTAGTTTGGTGTTACCTGTTTTTAATGAAAAGGATCTTCTCTGTCCACATTTCAGATATAAAGAGTCTTAACTTCATAGTCTTATGCCTGGATAAATATGTATAAGATCACAATCCCAATCAAACCCCAATAATTGCTGCTACTTAGAAATATTTTAAAATATTGCCACTGACATGTTGCTGAATTAGTATATGGACAAATAATAAACCATGTTTTAATTGAATAGAATACTGCTGTTCAGTAGGTTAATTATTGTTTCATTTGATTATTGATAGAATCAGAAATGCTTGAAGTCCATTCCTTGAGATACATGGTAATGAAATAATTTTAGTAATGAGACTTTGAGAAATATTTTCATTTTTTGGTGCAGAGAGAATGTAAATAAAATAAATTAGGCATTTGTGATTGCTGACTGCCCATGTTACTTGAACTCACAAAAATTTAAAATCAGTAATTTCCACTAATGCACTATCCCAAATTTTCAAGGGATTAATGATATACAATAATCCATTGGAGGACTATTGTATACTCATTAAGAATAATGGATGCATTTCCTCATACATGTTTGCTTAATTGCTAACCAAAACAATTCTGCAGATATAAAAGTGTGTTCTCCTATTCCAGATGTTCGATATAACCGAAGGAGCTCTTGGAACTGTAAGCCCTACACACAACTTTGAACCTCCTCACTATGATGGCATTGAAGCACTTACTATTATGGGCGACAACCTTTTTAGTGGATCCAGAGATAATGGAATTAAAAAATGGGACTTGGCTCAAAAAGACCTAATTCAGGTAATATTAAACCACAAAACGCATTAAGATATAAGAACTAGTGTCACAATTGTTATTAGAAAAAATATAACTAAAAGCCGACATAGGTTTGTCAAAAACAGATCATCCCAGACATACCTTATTGCATTCTTTGACAAAGTAACCTCATTAGTAGTTCAGGTATGAATATAGTTTACTTCAGTAAGGCATTTGACAAAGTAGACCACAATCTATTTCTTGGTAAGATAAAACAATGTGGGATAGACTGTACTATCTACCAGACTATTATTGGCTGACCAGCTACAGGTGAAACTCGAAAAATTAGAATATCATGCAAAAGTTCATTTATTTCAGTAATGCAATTTAAAAGATGAAACTAATATATGAGATAGACTCATTACATGCAAAGCGAGATAGTTCAAGCCTTGATTTGTCATAATTTTGATGATTATGGCTTACAGCTCATGAAAACCCCAAATTCACAATCTCAGAAAATTAGAATATTGTGAAAAGGTTCAATATTCTAGGCTCAAAGTGTCCCACTCTAATCAGCTAATTAAGCCATAACACCTGCAAAGGGTTCCTGAGCCTTTAAATGGTCTCTCAGTCTGGTTCAGTAGGAATCACAATCATGGGAAAGACTGCTGACCTGACAGTTGTGCAGAAAGCCATCATTGATACCCTCCATAAGGAGGGAAAGCCTCAAAAGGTAATTGCAAAAGAAGTTGGATGTTCCCAAAGTGCTGTATCAAAGCACATTAATAGAAAGTTATGTGGAAGGGAAAAGTGTGGAAGAAAAAGGTGCACAAGCAGCAGGGATGACCGCAGCCTGGAGAGGATTGTCAGGAAAAGGCCATTCAAAAGTGTTGGGGACTTTCACAAGGAGTGGACTGAGGCTGGAGTCAGTGCATCAAGAGCCACCACACACAGACGGATCCTGGACATGGGCTTCAAATGTCGTATTCCTCTTGTCAAGTCGCTCCTGAACAACAAACAACATCAGAAGCGTCTTACCTGGGCTAAAGACAAAAAAATCTGGTCTGTTGCTCTGTGGTCCAAAGTCCTCTTTTCTGATGAGAGCAACTTTTGCATCTCATTTGGAAACCAAGGACCCAGAGTCTGGAGGAAGAATGGAGAGGCACACACTGCAAGATGCTTGAAGTCCAGTGTGAAGTTTCTACAGTCTGTGTTGATTTGGGGAGCCATGTCATCTGCAGGTGTTGGTCCACTGTGCTTCATTAAATTCAGGGTCAACGCAGCCGTCTACCAGGAGATTTTGGAGCACATCCTGCTTCCTTCCGCAGACGAGCTTTATGGGGATGCTGACTTCATTTTCCAGCAGGACTTGGCACCTGCCAAAAGTACCAAAACCTGGTTCAATGACCATGGGATTGCTGTGCTTGATTGGCCAGCAAACTCACCTGACCTGAACCCCATAGAGAATCTATGGGGCATTGCCAAGAGAAAGATGAGAGACATGAGACCGAACAATGCAGAAGAGCTGAGGGCCGCTATTGAAGCATCCTGGTCTTCCATAACACCTCAGCAGTGCCACAGGCTGATAGCATCCATGCCACGCTGCATTGAGGCAGTAATTGATGCAAAAGGAGCCCAAACCAAGTACTGAGTACATATGCATGCTTATACTTTTCAGAGGTCCGATATTGTTCTATATAAAATCCTTGTTTTATTGATTTCATGTAATATTCTAATTTTCTGAGATTGTGAATTTGGGGTTTTCATGAGCTGTAAGCCATAATCATCAAAATTATGACAAATCAAGGCTTGAACTATCTCGCTTTGCATGTAATGAGTCTATCTCGTATATTAGTTTCACCTTTTAAGTTGCATTACTGAAATAAATGAACTTTTGCACGATATTCTAATTTTTCGAGTTTCACCTGTACATTCAACATGTAGCCCTCAATGGAACCACCTCTGCGTGGAAGAAGCATGCATGCATGTAACCCAAGGTTCATAAATGATCTAGATAAGGGGATAAAAGAGAAATTCATCAAATTTGCAGACAACATCAACTTGGAGGGAATAGTCAACAGTTTAAAAGATAGGCTCAATATTCAGAAGGATCTTGACAGACTTGAACACTGGGCAAGTCAATGGGGGGAACCAATGAGGGAAACCAGATTCATTTAATGACCACATGATTTAGTTGACTGTGGTGATTAGCATAACAACCATGGCAAAAAGGGACATAAAATTGTCCACAACTTACTTAACAACTGCCTTGTTTAACCACAGAAGTTCTGGTCTCAGTTGTGCCCATACATTGAGGACTGTCTGTAATAGAATGCACATTATTTTGGTTTACACATCTAATTATCTTCCAGTTCATAGGTTTTGTCCCTACTTACAGGTATTGCCATTTTTCTGCCTCACTTTGTGGTTTTTCTTTTCAGCAAGTTCCTAATGCTCATAAGGATTGGGTTTGCGCTCTTGGTATCATTCCGGATTCCTCTGTGCTATTGAGCGGCTGCCGAGGAGGCATTCTGAAGCTTTGGAGTGGAGACACATTTGCCCCAATCAGTGAACTAAAAGGACACGATAGTCCTATTAATGCCATCTGCTCCAATTCCAGCCAGATTTTTACTGCATCTGAGTGAGTTGTTTTTTTATGTTCTCTACTTATACGGGTAGACCTCAACTTATGGTCATTCATTCAGCAACTGTTCAAAGTTACAAGGGTGGTGAATGAATGTGGTTACAACTTGTTCTTGGAGTTACAGCTTTCTAGCATCCCCATAGTTACAGGATTGTGATCTGGGCGCTTGGCAACCCATTTGCACCTAATGACTGGTTGCCAAACACCCCAAATACCCACGATCGCCATTTGTAACCTTCCCTTTCTCCCAGAAAGTCAGTGGGGAAGACAACAGGGGAGGTTGAAAATTGCTGAGGTAAGTCTCCCGCATCTGTGCACTCTCCCCAGCTACTCTGTTTGCAGCAGCCATTATGCACATCTCCATGCATCCTTTCCAACCCCTGCCTATTGTGCACCTTTATACACACTTCTACCTCCATGCACCCTCATAATTCCCCTCACTTCCTTCCTCACTTTTACATACCTACTGGCCTGGGAACTGCAACTTCCTGCCAGCTGACTTAGATTGTGGGAAGCTAGCAAGAAGATGGCTCACCTAATGACCATGGTGATGGTCAGTGATGGAAACTCAGACCAAAGGGACTGTGATGGCCTTTACAATCACATCAATTAGCAGTGGAAATCGTAGTCCCAATTATAGTTGTAAGTTGAGGACTACCTATTTTTATTGATTTCTGGAATTAATTCAGGGCATTATCGTTCAGTTGAAGCATGGGCCTTATTTTACAATACATTTTAATAAAGAAATAAATTAATAAACCTAATTAATTGCTCGGGATTCTGATTATATACACTTCTCTATGAAATGAAGTGGTGTAGGGTTTCCTGCCTAAGCAAGGAGTTGGATTAGAACACCTCCAAGGTTCCTACCAACTCTGTTATTCTAAATGACGATACAGATAATTATGCAAAATATAAACATACTCAGTATGGGTCTTACAGCTTTGGAATAAATCCAAAATTTAGAATTTTATTTGTCTGCGTATTTGATGTCCCCCTAATATGGTTTAATAGTCCCACACTTTTGGAAAACAAACTGTGGAGGCCAAAACAGTACTAACTCCCATTTGTTCCATTTATAAATTGATACTTGCCAAGTTAGTTCCTTCTCTCTTAAAAACCATCTCCTTAAGGAAAGTTATTTCAATGGAGAAGACTTATTGCTGTCCTGTACGAGTATTTACTTGATAAAGAACAGTAATGTCTTTCAATCAGAGGTCAGCTTCATTTAATTGAACAGTTAATTCATGTTTCTTTTCCATCCCCTTTAAATGTTAATAATGTTTTACAGTGATCGAACTGTGAAAATCTGGAAAGTTCCCAGCAGCCTAGATGGACAGCTCTCTGATCCAGGTGATACAAGTGAAGATATTGCCAGTAACTGAACAAGAGTTGCACTGCTAGACATCTCAAGCTCTGATGATAAGCTTTGCTCTCACTGAAGTTGCTCTGCATTTATAGGCAAATGGTAGTACCTGAAAGAATTGTTAATTGTTCTACTGTTAGGCATTTGTATTCTGCTAAAAACTGCTGCCCTTAAGAGCTGCCTTATGTACCGCGTTCAAAATGTTGGTTTTATATATCTTTGTCTGGGTTTGTGTGACTGCTTGTTCTAACCTATAAATGGCTTAATTTGTGTGTATCAATAAGACTTAGCAAAATCAAACTGGATATCTTCGACCTTGAATGGTGGTCTGAAAACTGTAACCTAGAATGTGAAGTTGCCCTACGTACCTCACATTGACCCTTCTGTAGAATGAAACTTCACAGTTATCCAAAATATACCGGTATATTTTATCTCATTTCCAAAATCTTTAACAAGAAGAAGAAGAAGAATGGAGGGGTCCTAATACGTTTACTTGAACTTTGCTGCTGTATGAAATATTAAGACTGGCGTGTCAATAAACTGGAAGAGATTATTGCTCTTGAATGGTTACTGTTTTCCAAACGGAGGGCTCCTGACATTATAAATCAAAAGAAATCGTGCAACTAATAAATCTTTCTTAACTTTATTAACTCTCTACATGGGGCTCCCCCTGGGGTGCACCCGGAGGCTCCAGCTGCTCCAGAACGCGGCCGCGCGGGGGATTATGGAGGCGACGAGGCGCTCCCATGTAACATCTCTCCTGCGCGAGCTGCACTGGCTCCTGGTGGTCTTCCGGGTGCGCTTCAAGGTGTTGGTGACCACCTTTAAAGCGCTCCATGGCTTAGGGCCGGGGTACTTACGAGACAGCCTTCTGCCACCAATAGCCTCCCACCGGCCAGTACGCTCGCACAGAGTGGGCCTCCTCAGGGTGCCGTCCGCCAGACAATGTCGGCTGACGACTCCCAGGGGGAGAGCCTTCTCTGGCAGCGCCCACCCTCTGGAACAACCTCCCCCCAGAGATACGTACAATAACAGACCTCTGGATTTTTCGTCGGGCCCTGAAAACCCATTTATTTCAACTAGCTGGGCTGGCTTGAGTTAAATTTTAAATTGATTTTAAATTGGGTTGTTTTAATTTACGGCCAAAATATTTAATTATTTTAAACTGCTTTTAAATTTTGTATGTATTCTTTTTTACTTTGGCTGTTCACCGCCCTGAGTCCTATTGGAGAAGGGTGGTATAGAAATAAGAACAAATAAATAAATAAATAAATAAATTTTCCATTAAAAGAAAAAGATGGCAGGTCATCAGGGGAAAATGTGGGATGACTGGAAATTCAAAATCTAGGAATCCAGTGCCTGGATTTCATCTTGGTACATTGTTGAGGCAGGAGAAGTTGCACAATAATAAACAATAAAACCCTGGAAGCATCCTATAATCTGCTAACAATGAATGTTACATAACCCTCTCCTTTTATTGACCAAAGTAGCGCAGCTTATGTCTACGTGCTCAGGACTAAAAACTAAAATTCTGTCGAATTAATATTTTATTAGGGCTTTGGCCTACCGCAGTATTCATAGAGAAAGACCTTGTTTTGTTTTTCCATTTGGAGTGCTTTTAATCTCATGTTCTAAAGGTTTCCTTTCTTTTAATCTAATTTGATATGCTGCTAAATACATTTTAAATATGTCTGTGAACCTTGAAAGATACGTAAGAGAATTGTAACAACGGTATCAAGGAAGACTGTAAATATGTGAGCTATAAAGAGAGAGACTGGGTTCCTGAGTGAATTTTAAAAATGCTGTAGTGAGTGCAGATTGGAAGATATTGTATAATTTATCCAAATGTTCAGGATTTAATTTGTAAATTCAGCTATTTTTAAAAGTTTAGAATAATTTTCAGGAAAAATGTTTTACTGTTTTATTGGGTATAATGATGGAGAAGATGAGCTTATAAATGTATAGCTTAAGGTAGTCCATTGCTTAAATTAAAAAAACACCACATAACTGAATGCACACTATTTGTCATTGGTTTTTGTTTATTCTGCTCCCCTCCTCCCAGAAGAGATATTTTTACATACAAATAATCCTTGACTTACAACAGCTCATTTAGTGACCGTTCAAAGTTACAACGGCACTGAAAAAACGTGACTTATGACCGTTTTTCGACGGTTGCAACATCCCCATGATCATGTGATCAAAATCCAGATGCTTGGCAACTGGTTCATATTTATGACCTTTGCTGTGTCCCAAGGTCATATGATCCCCTTTTGCGACCTTCTGACAAGCAAAGACAATAGGGAAGCCAGATTCACTTAACAACCAGTTACTAACTTATCAACTGCAATGATTCACTTAACAAATGTGGCAAGGTCGTAAAATGAGGTGAAATTCACTTAACAAATGTCTCTCTTAGCAACAGAAATTTTGGTTCCATTTCAAAAGGAAAAAAAATAGTGCAACTTATCAACTACCAGAGGGCTGGAAAAGAGCTGATGCAATTCCAATCTTCAAAAAGGGGGAAAATTGATCCTGGAAACTACAGACCAATCAGTTTCATTTCAAGAAGATCCTGGAAAAGATAATCAAGCAATGGATCTGCAAATAACTAGAAACAAGCAAAGCTAATATTAGAAGCCAACATGGGTGTGTCAAAAAGAGATCCTGCCAGGCAAACCTTAGTGCATTCTTTGACAAAGTGGATCAGGAAAATAGAGCGGACATAATTTATTTAGATTTCGGTAAGGCATTTGACATAGTAAACCACAGTCTACTTGTAAGGTAGAAAAACGTGGGATAGACAGCATCTCCCCAGATGAATCCATAACTGTCCGACCAATCACATTCAGTTTTTAATTCTCAATGGAATTATTTATTTATTATTTATTTATTTATTACATGTATTTATATGCCGCCATTCTCCCGAAGGACTCAGGGCGGTGAACACAAGTTAAGAAACAAGTACAATAAAATCATAATTTAATTATGTCTATATTGGGGGGGGGGAAGCATGAAGAGGGGTATCTCAAGGTTCTGTCTTAGGCCTGGTACTTTTTAATCCCTTCATAGGTGATTTAGATAAGGGAATAGAAGGGGAATTCATTAAATTTGAAGTTGACTCCAAATGGGGGGGAATAGCCAACACTTAAAAAAAAAAAGACTCGAGATCTAGACCGGAATACTGGGCCCTATCCAACAAAATGCAAAATGCAATTCACTAGTGAGAAAAGTAAGGTTTTATACTTCAGGAAAAAATAAAGCACAAGTATAAAATAGGTGGTACCTGGCTTAACTTCAGTAACAGAGAGAGAGAAAGAGAGATCTCAGGAGTCTGCTTGAATATGATCCTGCCATTCATTCATTCAATCACTTAATGAGCCAGCCATATTTTGCAGCTGCCAAAAAAAGCCATTGCAATTCTAGGCTGCATCAACTTGAGGAATAGTATCAAGATAAATGTGAAATGTTAGTACCGCTTCATGCTGCACTGGTTAAGACCACATTTGGAACACTGTCTATTTATGGTCACCATGATACAAAAAAGCTGTTGAAACTCTGGAAAGTGCAGAGGAGAGCAACAAAGATGGATTAGGGGACTGGAGTCTAAAGCATATGATGAATGGTTATGAGAACTGTAGATCTGGTCCCGTGATGGTGAACCTATGGCACGTGTGCCAGAGGTGGCACACAGCGCCCTCTCTGTGGGCACGCAAGCTGTCACCCCATAGTTCAGCACTGCACATGCGCACGCGGCTCCTGCCAGCCAGCTGGTCTTCGGGTCTCTGCCGCACATGTGCATGCGTGGGGGGAGGGTGCATGCATGGGGGTAGGGTGTGTGCAGGAGAGTGCATGCATGTGCTGGGGGGTGGGGCACATGCGGGGGGGTTTGCGTGTACATGCATGGAGGGCACATGCGGGGTGGATGTGCACATTGCATTTTGGGGGGTTGGGCGTGCATGCGCTTTGGGCACTCGGTCTGGAAAAGGTTAGCCATCAGTGGTCTAGATCGGGTCGGCAACCTGCAGCTCTGGAGCCGCATGTGGCTCTTTCATCCCTCTGCTGTGGCTCCCTGTCACTCAAAATACGCGTCACAACCCCCAATCTATGACATCCGCCGGCATGTGATTTATTGAGCTTTTTGACCCGGTTTTTTTTTCCCTCTGGAGTTCAAAATATTTTTGTTGCATGCAGAAATAAAAATTTGTTTTCTCTGTAGCCATTCATTGATTTCATAAATGCAACACATTTTTTTTTATACATAGCATAAAGGTAAAAAAAACTATATGCAGTGTTATCTTCATTTTAGATGTCAAAAGGGTTTTTTAGCTCCCGGTGTTTTCTTTTCTGTGGGAAACGGGCCCAAACGGCTCTTTTGAGTGTTTAAGGTCGCCGACCCCTGGTTAGATTAATGAAGAGAAGGAGTAATAGTGATAGCAGTCTTCCAATATTTGAGGGGTGTCATAGAGAATAAAGGGTCAATCTATTCTCCAAAGCATCTGAGGGCAGGGGAGGTAGTAAAAGATGGAAGCTAATTAAAGAGAGGTTCAAGCTAGAACTAAAGAGAAATTTACTGTCAATGAGAAAATTAATCAGTGGAACGACTTGCCTTCAGAAGTTGTGGTGCTCCAACACTGCATTGGACAGCCATTTGTCCATGATGAGGGGCTTGGACTAGAAGACTTCCAAGGTCCCTTCCAACTCTATTATTCTGTATTCTACCTTTGATAGCTAAGTATCGTGGTCTGGATTTGAACTATTAGTGAGCTGAATTAAGACGAAGAATCTGATTATCATAAAATTGGTGAACAATAGAAAAGAAAAAACCTCCAAATACAAAGATAGGAACTGATGCTAAACATTTGAGCATAATTGAGCTCATTGATGCAATACTTCTGGAAAAATGTAATGGCATTCAAAAATAAGTTCTAATTAGCAAAAGCTTTTTTGCAGGTTATTGCAGTATGAGATGAGTCATAGTACTGAAAACTTAATTCAGTAAAATTGCAGAACTCAAGCAGTGACAAACACGAATAATATCTGAAATTAAGAGAAGGCGAAGTGTGAAAGGATCACCCACAAAGAATGTCTATGTTTTGAGTCAGAGAAACATAAAAGGGCATTGAGTTAGTTTTATCATAGAAATTAAGAATGTTGAGTCTGCTATCTGAGGAAGGAAGGAAGGAAAGAAGGAAGGAGGGAGGGAGAGAGGAAGGAAGGAAGGAAGGAAGGAAGGAAGGAAGGAAGGAAGGAAGGAAGGAAGGAAGGAAGGAAGATAAATAGATCTTTTTTTTATTGAAAAAGTTTTTCAAATACAAATTTTCCCCCTTCCCCCCCCTCCTCCCTAACCCTCCTCACCCCCCTTCCCCTTTGACTTCTTCATAATAAAACCCAAATTCATAACCGATTATATCATGCTTTACTATCCATTTACTCCATCTCCATATACTGACCCTTTCTTTCTAATAAAATTATCATACCCCCCCCTTATACTATGCTATAATATGCATTTCAAAGTGACATTCTATAACAATGTCTAATAACTCCTGATTTAACATAATAATATTATTATATCTCCCAATTTAACAATTTCCACTCGTGATCTACCCTTTTACTACCCCCCATACGTTATAACATTTCAAAACATACTTCCACTCTAAGACTACTCAATAAATCCTAATTTAACACTTATTCAATTCAACTACCCATTTCCTTCCCCCCCTTCACTACATATATTCACATCTAAACATAATATCCCTTTTCTTTAAACTAAACAATCCATAACCTAACCTATCTCCACCCACTTTCCTACAAAATTACCATAATTATTCTTAATATCTTTATTCTTCTGCCCACTCCCCTAGAAAAATATTCCCTTATATAAATAAAATCCTAAAAGAAAAAAACTTTAAGCTTGTAATCCATATAGCATCTTCTGTAATATCCTTCAACTGGATGATAAACTACATCACCCATGTTAGGGTAACATCGCATCCTTATTCCAGCAGTATTTTCAGTATCTTCAATATCTTCAATTACCATCTGCCCCCATCAGTAACAAATATCTTCATATTGGAAGAAAGAAAAAGAAAAAAAAAACCCCGACAACCACCCGAGTGACTTTATAATTATATTCCGTATAATGTTTATGGAGGTGTCTTTTATCCAGATTATTAATTCCAGCCATAATAATAGGGTAACAACCAGATCTTCTGCGTGCCCCAATCCAGTAAATCTCTTGCCATATAACTCAACATACACGTAATATATTTATCCGGAAATCCAAAAAACAAACAAGATGTTTCCAACCATTCGATTTAAGGCCTTTTTCACATCCCAAAATAATTCAGCACTGCAGAGATCTGCCCTAAGATAAATAGATCTTGATATTATAATTCCATATGCATGTTTGCAGTAACTTTAAACTCTGATTATGCACAAAATGCACAGGATTCTGCTTGACTGCAGGGAAGATACTGTATTTGGCAAATAGTAAACCTTATCTGCCATTCTGACTAAGAATTCAGTTGCCTTGAGCACAAATTATACACATAAATTGGTAAATTGCATATACTGCATTTTGTAAAGGAAAACTAGTTGTGGAAAAGCATCCAGACTTCTGGTCTGTGGTTTGTATCATTATGTTTGTCTTTGGCCTTGCCCATCTTCACATGAAACTTTGATGAGAGCATGAGAATTAGGCCTAGGCCATCTAACCAATATTCTGTCTTAGACATTGTCCTTCAGGACACAAATAAGAGAACCGTGGCCACGGTGGCACCTGTGCACCTATTATGTAGAGGTGAACTGTTCCCATAGCTGGAGACTCCACCCAATGAGCAAAGTCAATAGCCAGTGATAGACCTGATCATGAGAAATTTACCTAGTCCCCTTTGAAGCAGTGGTGGTATTCAATTTTTTTAACTACAGGTTGTGTGGGCATGGCTTGGGCGTGGTGTGGCTTAGTGGGCGTGTCTTGGTGGGCGTGGCAGGGGAAGGATACTGCAAAATCTCCATTC